AAGGTTTTTAAAACTAAAAGGTGATCAGCTGTTCGATGATGTTTTCGAAAACCAATTTGACACTTATTTATTACGTTATTTTCTTCCAGGAATTCATTTAAACGAGTATTCATTATTAAAGTGAAAAATTTCCCCAAGCAACTACTGATACATATTCCTCTATAATTACCAGGGTCAAACGTATTACCCGATTTATATATTGGAACAATGTTGCCATTAGCCCAAGCTGATGGAAATACTCCTTTTGATAAAATGGTGTTAAAAATTTTGACAAAATATAATGGTAAGGCTTTGACTGCTAATTTGATTATTTCATTGGATAAAGAATCCACTGAAGAAGCTTTTTTGTTTTTTAACTTTTTTGATAAATTATAAATTTCCACAGAAGAAATTGGTTTGTCAAGCGTTTCATTCTTTGTCGCTGCCCAAATATTATGGTCTTTTACAATTTGTACTTCATGACTATTCTTGTCACCATGGTCATTGAATCTATTTAAATTTTCAAAATAATCAAACCACTCGGTTGGCGATATTTCATTACAGGTTCCCGAAGATTTGTTTGTCTTTATTGTATTAACTAACTTCCAAAATTCATTAGGATTTCTATCAGATAAATTTTGAATTTTCTCCAGCAATGAATTATGAAACTTTCTCTTCATTTTCTTTATTAACTTTTTATATTCTTTTCTTTTTGCGAAGAAATTATGGCGTAAAAAGGGATCATTGGGATACTTTGTCAGTAATTTTCCCAAATTTCTTAGATTCTTTTTGAGCGTATGACAGTTTTCGTCGTACCATTTCTGTCTCTGTTTTTTGTTCTTGTTTTTATTAATTTGCTTTTTACGTTTTAGTATTTTCAGAGATGATTCACATAATATTTCAGAGAAATTGTTAACAATCACATCAATATCAACTAAACTGCTATCTGCATCATTTTGTTCACAGAATAATGACTCTAATTTGTTAACAGTATCTTCAGAACTCATAACATCATAAAGATCTTGTTTCTTAGTCTCATCCCATACAAAAGATATTGGTTTATTCAATACCTCCATATTGACATTCGGATATTTAGGTGTTTTGATTCTCATTACGAAATTTAAACAAGAATGGTGAGAAAACTCAGTCGGGTAGTCTACTGTAAAACTGTTGATGAGTGGAAATAACTCCTGCGCAACAATAGCGTAATCCACGACACTTGATCCATTATAGGTATTACAAGTAAATTGACCAGTTAAATCACCTTTAGTCCTACCGTTCAATGCAACTAAATTATTTTCAATGCATAATTCAATTAACGATCTTCCGTAACAATTTGTGTTGGGGTCTCTCGAAAATCGTTTACTTACTGTAATTGTGGATAAATTTCCCTCATTCAGAAAAGGATCTACATGTGTAAAGTCATCTAGAGTACCTGTTCTAGCATTAAAATCACCGCATAAAATGACGTCACCCAAAGCTGAAAATTTATGGATGTAATTTTGAAGATTTTCAAAATGATCAGTATTAAGTCTGATTTCTCGAGAGGAATTTTGAGGTGGTATATAAACTGAACAAACAAAAATATCACTGGTTAGATTAAAAAATGGAATCTTCTTGGTAGGTGACGTCATCCTTTGGGTATTTAAGAAGCCACGATCGCAGTTTTAGATCACCCCTGATGAAGACACTAGACTGGAGCGTCGAAACGTTGGGTCTTGATTACAATTCGACTGGGCTTTGTAATCATTTATTTAAACCAGAGTAGCGAGCGAAACATGATTGATATACCTGGTTGCAGTGAACGAACAAACTTTAATTCCAATATGTTATTGGAATCGACCTCAAAACCAGAGTGGAGATCCATGTATTAAAGTAAAGCACAATCTTATATAATACAACATTGCGTGAGAGCCTTGGCCTGCCCCAAGAAAGGAACTACCTCATTTACACATCATTACATGTCAACAGCTAAAGATACTCGGGAAACAACATAGCTTCGGTCGCCTAATCCTGTTACTGTAATTACGATTTACTTCAATGTTACACTTGCCATAACGCAACGAAAACAACTCATGAGAATATTTAATAAAAAATCTTCAAAATGTTAGTTTTGTTTCTGATTTCGTCCATCCCATGTTCCATTCCCCGTTCCATTCCCCTATTCCCCGTTTTAAAGATAACCTACTTTTTAGCGTCGTATTTGTGTGTATTATATTATTGGTAATATACGCAATCGGGTAGATTAAACGCATCTGATAGGTTAATGGTAGCGGTAGTCAAAATTTGAACCTCTCTCATGCAAGCTTTGAACGCCAAAGCTCTGACATTTTACTAAAAAAATTCTCCAAGTCATTTTACATGGTATAAATTTCATACCTGCATGATATCACCTAACCTATTTGTGCGAGACGCATGTTTCTAGGACGTAATAAAACGCTGTGGGGATACATTTTGTCTCTAACATTATTAGTGAAATTATTAGTGACCTTATAAGCAAACGACGTTTTTGTCAATAAGGACGTCACCCGAAAATTGCTGCAACCAATTTGGCGGCATTTTGCATCGTAGCTCTCGTGTAAGGAAGCAAAAAAAAACTCTAAAAATCTTAGGTCTTGTCACATGTATTAAGATTATCACAAACTGGCATAAACACAGTTTTTAATCCAGTCCCCAATGTGACGTCTACGTTGACAAAAACATCGCTTACTTAAGCTACCTATTATTAGAAATTAGTATAATTACATAGGTGATTATTGAAAATTCTCCACGCTGATTGGTTGCCGTTGAGGTGATTATTACGCGATAATCACCTAAGCGATTTTCAAAATGGCGGCCGAAGCCTTTTTGTCAATTAAATGACAAAGAAATTGTGTATTTTCTTATTGTTTTCCAAATAATCACCTATAAAATTATACTAAAACAATTATTCACCTCAGGCTCGGTGATTATCGTGAATAAAAACCTCGACTTCGTCTCGGTTTTTATTCACCGATAATCACCTCGCCTTCGGCGAATAATTGTTAATTAACATTACCTCGCGATTCTCAAAATAAGCCAAGTAATTCTTTCGTAGATCCAATTTAAACCAACGGGGCAACCAGTTCTTTCGAACATCTAAATGAACAGAAAGAATGTGTAAGGGTAACAAGGAATTATACAATCGTTCTCAAACTCAGATGTAACCAATCAAAAGGATCTTAATCAACTGTAAAATTAAAGTCATTTTCTTAACTTTTTTGAAGTTAGGTATTGCGGTGCCCAAATGAAATTTGGCATCGCTTTATATTCGCTGCTAGTTTGTTAGCAATCATAAGGCTTGGTATGTACAGCTAATTTAATACACCTTTCTTAGAATAAAGTCAAACGTGGAAGAAACGCTGACATGCATGCACATACAATTTCATAATAATAAACACGCCCAATGTGCTATTCGCGCTTAGAGGTCGAAGGTTTTCAGAGGACATAAACCTTAATTGAATTAGCTGCATTCCAAAGTAATTTGTCGTCGCGCTTGTGGGGTATTTGTTATGCGCTTGCTTCAGGCAACCGCGCTGTAGTGCTTTTCTGGAAATAGACTCATAATACCTAACTGGTACTTTGGTACCTGGAGCAAGGTTGCTCTCGTGTGCGGATAGTTTTCGTGAGGATTTGACCTCTCGAGGCCTTGAGGAAAATATCTATCGTGTTTGATATTTTTCGCCTCGCGAGGAAAAAATCTCAGCGTCTGCGGATGTTGTGAGCTAAGTGCTGAGCCGTTTGAATTAATTAGCCAATAACAAACCATGGTTTCTTCATGCGACTTGGAACATTATCCCATACCTGTGTTAAAAGCGGCTTTCTGATTGGTCTAGAGCAGGTGAGCTTGTCGTCGAGCTCACCTGCTTTTTGTCGAGCTCACCTGCTTTTCGCCCGAACTCACCTGATAAACTGCTTACGTTGCAATAACAATAACAAATATGGCGGACAAGATTTAGCCGATAAACCTAAACTTTAAAGAACTTTTTTCGGTGACTAACATACTGAGACTGAAGAAAAACCAAAGAAATAATGCAGTAAAGGTAATTTAGACGTAGATAAAGAAGTATTTTCTTGCCCAGTGATTTTTTTGGCCGGGAAAATGTTCACAAAACATCGACGAGACGACCAATATATCGCGAAGAGCTACAAATGTGTGTATGGCTCGGTGTATGGGATAAAAACCAAACGTACTTGCAGCTTCGGTGAGTCCGGGATTGGACGCACCTCGGGTGGCTGGAAGTTTCCCGAACTCACCTCGCTTCGCTCGGTAAGTTCGGGAAACTTCCAGCCACCCTCGGTGCGTCCAATCCCGGACTCACCTCCCTGCAAGTACGTTTGTTATAAAAGGGAGGAAAATGCAAATGATTTTGTCAATTATGTTGTTGTTGAGTAGTTTTCCCAACGTGTGCGGTGAAAATACATAGCTGAGCTAGCTGCCTCGCGAGGCGGTTAGCTCAGCAAGTTGCTCTCGTGTGCGGCGGGCTTAAGGGGAAGGAACAACCGGTTTTCGTACACCACGTGTGTCAAATCACTCGATTACAAGTGATAACGGACCCGTTATCACCACCACCAAACATGGCCAAAGGCATTGCCTGCAAACGTGTCATATATATATATATATATATATATATATATATATATATATATATATATATATATATATATATATATATATATATATATATATATATATATATATATATATATATATATATATATATATATAATAGTGAATCGTCATGGTTTGAAACGGTGGCTATCTGCCACAAGAGTATTTTCACTACCTTGTTGGGCGCTGACTACACTTTTGACGTAAGATATCCCTGAAGAAGACACTAGACTGGAGTTTCGAAACGTTGGGTGGTGAAATATAATGTATTCGGGAATTACTTTAATCTATTTAAACCAGTGTTCCGACCGTAAACATGTCTCCCTCAAAAATTGTTGTAAGATACATGTTAACTGGATTGTGACAGAATTAGCCTATATCAAGTTGCATATTGTGTTAATTAGTAATCATGCAATGTTGATATCATCATATGAGACTTTCTGAATTGTTTTCTCTAAATTCTGACTCAAGTCATGTGGCAGTACTGCCTGTCTATATGCACGGTTGGATAATTACGAATAGAGAATCATATTATGGATGTCAGCTTACTTCCTTTTTTAGTTAAGAAACCACAGCAAATAATTGGCGTAACATGTATATCTTTCTCCTCGCGCCAATTTATTCCTAAAAACACAAATAGGAGGAAATATTACACTTAAGTTAAGTACCACGTTAGAGTTAACTGTTGTATACCGGGTGTAAAATCCAGATATTTTGTTAAGCATTTCCTGGCAGTGGTGCTGCTTGCGCTGCCGAACATTTTTTCAGCACTGGTACCAAAAATAGCATCAAAACTTAAAAAAATACCACGTCTTGCTGGTAATATATATCATGTTGTTTTGCGTACGAAAACATACTTCTCTCTTTGATCTCGACCCAAATCACATCTCTATCCCTTAATTGATGGATTGGGATTTTTATTTAACCACGAAATCCATTTCATAATGTAAAAAAAAAGATACTGTATGTACTCTTTCATGGAGACGTGTGATTATAGTATCTAAAAGAATTATACGGTGTTCAATTATATCGATAACAAGTACTAAAAAACTACTAGAAAAATATTAAACTAAGACCCCGTTTACACGGTACCGGACGAATTTGAGACCGGACGAAAATTCGTCCTTTTTCGCCTGTTTACACGCGAATTCGTCCTGTTAGGGGGTCTCAAATTCGTCCGGTTCCGTGGTTCTCGTGTGTTTACACGGCCGAATTTTCGTCCGGTCACAAATTCGTCCGGTACCGTGTAAACGTGGTCTAAGAAATGAGAGACTTAAATCCAGCGAGTGACTGTGCCCAGGTAATTTTAGTCTCCCTCGCAGACGTTCTTGTAGCTCTAACCCTCGCTAACTAACGTCTGCTGAAACGAGCCGCACATTCCATTCCCTTTGTTTTAGGAGCCAATAATCTGGCAGTGTTCAAAAGAGTTAGAGCCAATTGGAAGCCGCCTTATTGAGGGTTTAGCTACTGGGGAAAGCCCTTGCACATGGGAATATATTGTTTGGGTTGAAATTTGTTTACTTGCGTGGAGATATTTTGGAAACTATAGCCTTGAACTTCACGATGCTTACGTAGAATAATATTGTGATCATCTTCTCGCATGTTCTGCAAACAACCGGCGTATATAAAATGCGAAAGCTATGCAACAGGCGCAATTTTAAATTTTGTTAACAATGACAAACAAGCAATCGGGAAACTCTAGAACGAGTAGATCAGGATATGTCCAAATGTTGCTATTAAATTCTTCCGATATGCCATGGCTTCGACGAAAAATTCTCAAAGATTAAGCTCTCGTTGCATGTAGAAAAGTATAGCGAAGTTACATGTATAAACGTTTCGAAGTTTGGGCGAACTGGAAATTCATATCGGCGCAATTAAAAGTTTCTCGGGTTTTATTTGTGTTGTGTTTACATTCAAAAGTCAGAAGTCGTTGCTCAAACAGCAAATTAGTTTACTTTGAAACTAATATTTCGCTTTCTAAGCCACAGTATTATATCAAATTTTCTGTCTTCTGAGTTCTGTTGTCTTAAAGATATATATCTGTCAAAAGTTCAAATTTCAGCGAAATATATTCTGCATTAATTTGATGCTGTCGCCACTAGATTAATACAGTATGCCCATGCGAGTATGCCATCCTGTCCACGTTTTAAATATAACCGAACATCTTTAATATCCGAATCTGATAATTAATGGCGCATTTTATTTCCTGGACAAGTATCAATGTCTTTTTACATTCAATAAATTCAATTTATGTGCAATTTTGACAAAAATTCAACCGACGACTGCTTTCAAAATATAAAAATATTTATGTACTATTTATTTCGCCCGTAAATCACTTTCCGAAATATAGAAGGTTCGCTGTGATTGGTCGATCGGAGGGAATGGAATGTGCAGCTCGTTTCAGCAGACGTTAGTTAGCGAGGGTTAGAGCTATAAGAACGTCTGCGAGGGAGACTATTCACCCCCAAACTCACCTCAGTTTACAAAATACTCGTTACGTCGACGTGGCATACAACTTTGGGATTATTATAATATAGCTATGTTATGTATATCTTATCAGACACGACACACTGTTTGTTTTTTAGGATCATCTCAAGTCAGATCAAGATGAGACTATGTCCGTTGAAGAGAAAGCCGCAGAAATGAAGATGTTCGGCAAGCTGACCAGGAAAACATTCGAATGGCATCCATCAAAACTTTTATGTAAAAGGTTCAACATTCCGGAACCTTATCCGTCGTCAAGTAAAACTGGCCTTGTTTATGAGAAAAAAGAAAAGTTTACTCTTGGCAAATTGTTTGAAACATCTCAAAAGGAGGAAAATTATGAAACAATTTGCTTAAATAGAACAACAAATGTTTCCGATAACTCAACTGCTGAATCGGGTGAAAAAGTTATTCTAGAGAACCTGAACACCGAAGAAAAAGTAAAAATTAATTCTACTCCTGGTGCGATGGTTACCTTTGACCAGAAAGGGAGCAAAAAGCCATCAATGGACTTGTTTAAAGCTATATTTGCAAGCTCATCGGAAGACGAGTCGGGAAATTCTGAGGATGAAGAGATGAACAATGAACAAAGCAGCCAGCTTAAGTTAACTCAAGAAACTTCAAGTGCTAACGTGGTTACTGTATCTAAACAGCAGACAAAAACATCTCACCCGGGTAAATTTGAAGACACTTATAGAGATGGTGATATTGACAAACATGTATCTCTGCAGGCTAGTGTTGAAGACTCAAATAATCAAATTGTGAAAGCTGTCCCTAAGCACAATAACACTGATAAAAATGTTATGGAAGTAGAAGAAGAGGAGTACGGTCCTAGACCACCACCACCACTGCGATCACAAAGAGAAGAGATTGGTGTAAAACTAGTACTCCAATCTCATCAAACTGTGCCATTTTCTCGTTACGATTCACATAGTGAGTCAGATAGTGATAGGCGAAAAAGAAAACACAAAAAGAAGCAAAAGCACAAGTCGAAACACAAGAACAAAAATAAAGACAAGGACAAGTCAACGAAAAGAGAAAATGATAGCCCAAGAAAAAATGATTGGGAAACCTCGCCAAATTCCAGGCAGAAACCCACCACAAGTCATGAACAAATTGACAAATCGGAACACAAAGAAATTCTAGATGACAAACAGATACTATCAAGACTTAAAGCTGTTCAAAAACGGCGAAAGTGTGCCGCAGATTTTATGTAGAGTATTGTATAGAATAGTGATAAAGATAAATATGAATCGGTAAATCTACGATATTATTAATTTCTCATTATCTTATTTATATTATAAAATTATTTACCAGGGGCAGGGATGAATTATTGCATGGTACGCTCTCTGGACGTCATATCAGCATTGGAAATAAATTAAAGATGGCGGTGAACTAAGAACGAACTTTTTCTCTTTTTATCTCCTCTTTATAATTGAATATAATGGACCTTAAATCATATATATCTCTCTTATATAGAACTGAGTCTGAAAACATATATATCTAGTACCAGGCTCCGGTGTGCTTAAATTCAATAGGGGTGCCAATTGATCATCCCCTTATTACGTTTTCGTAGCGCTTTGCATTGTGGTTATAGTGGTATCACTGATAAAGATAGCGGCCTCGAATGAAAATATTGAATGTTCAGTTTGCGAATATTTTGCTGTTGACTATCGCGCACCTGACCCTAGCTTTTTGTTAAAGGTTCTTGCACGGGTCAGGACAAAGCCGTCTTAAATATCAGTGATACCACTATAACCACAATGCAAAGCGCTACGAAAACGTAATAAGGGAATCTGGTATTCCCGTTTTAGCCGCACGTTTTAAGAACGATAAAAATTGTAAAATAATTTACTCCCTAATTTGACAAGTTCGGTTGGGTTGTACTCTTATATCCAACCCCCAATTTGACCCAGCCGTATATTACTCATGAGAACCATGATTCCCTCTACACTACTCACTTTTCGTGTATTTAATTTAAAAAACAACAGGTTGCTGTGGCAGTGAAAGCCATCACTTGCACTGTGGTTACCAATGACCGAGATAGTTAACTAGAATAACTATTACTGGGTAAAACGTAAAAATTGTTTTAGTTAATTATTTATTGACATAATTGCAGCCGGAGCAAATACTACAAATATACCCTCCTTTTCTGACTATATATCAATACATTCACTAGCAAATTCTACAAAGTTCTAGTAAACTGTTCCTAATAAAAAGAAGAATATGCTATTTTTAACCAAGTAAAGTTAAGAAAGCAAGTTCAAATAAAGTGAGGTTACGTTCAACAATAAGACTGAACAGTTATTTGAACCATATTGACGTTTGCCCCGTCTTCTGAGTTGTATACAGAGAATGCCATCCAAAATGTGCATAATTAGGACATCCTTTGGCCACATCTGGTGTATAGGGTCTTGCTGCATTACATCCCCCAGCTGGTCTATCTCCAGTATGAACACTGGGAAAGAACGGACCTCTGTCTCATGTGCCGTACTGAGATTTGACCGGTGAGAATCCATAACCAGTTGGGTATGTGTCACTCCAGGAGACACCCAGAGCTTCGGCCAAAGCATATCTCTTCGCCCTTCCGGTTTCACCTTTCAGAGCTTTCACTGTGAACTCAACGACATGCATCTTGGGAATGGTGGAAGTTCGACTAGCTCCATGGTAACGGTTGTGGTTTGCAAACGTGATGTTATATCGATTGTTACTGATATCAATGAAATAGACATAACTGTATTTGTTGATACCACCTGACACAGGATTGCTTCCAGCTGCCATTATCATATACTTTGCACCTCGAGCCAAGTTTACTGCGCCATGTTGAAGTGCTATAACGCCTTGGGAATTATTACGTTTGTTTGGATGCCAAGTGTAGCCGTTAGGATGGTTCATATTTGGAATATTTTTATTTCGATCGTCAAATTTACCATACGCAGTCGTTGCGACGTATCCATAGCTCGCCAAGGTCCAACCACCATCCTGAAAACTCATATCACAGTATGATTGGACAGCGAAAGAATCGCCGTCCGGTTGGATCCAGTACACGCCACTCGTGGGGGTTTTGGTACTCCAGTCTAAAATGTCTCTGCAGCTCTTCCCTGGGTTTTTTTCAGTCAGGCCTTTCACACCTTTCGATGAAATAAAAAGAACGCATTTTTAAATTAAAAATGTACAAAAATACTGCTAATCCTAACATTTGTCACTCAATCATGCACGCAGTGCCCGGGTATTCTGGTCTTCTCTTTGCGGTAGTAGCACAGATAAAGTAGTGATTATATAGAAAGAAAACAAAGCGTATATATTTCAAGGCAAGCAGATAAATAACATATTCAGTAAAATTAAAAACAAAACCTCCAATACCATGGCAAACTTGAGGACATTTAAAAGACAGATCTTTTTTCACATCTTCACAATGCTTTAATTCTTTTTCAGAAGAAACGATTTTGTGGTAAAACTTAATGCAATCTTCGTAAGCTGTATTAACGTTCTCCAAGCACTTCTTACAGAAACCTGGAAATGTAGAGAAATATATACAGTATATGGAATACCAAACTGTTATATTTGACCGATATGAACTCAAAATAAACTCGGGTTGCGAAAGTGATTTCGATCAATTCTTAATTAAGAATTAAAGATAGTAAAAAAAAGTACTTTGGTCTGGTCTCATTTGCGATTTTGATGGATCTGCAGTCCTCCAGTTCATATCTTCCGGCTTCCCCCATCGCTGGAAATCCTCTCAACAGACTACTAGTGGTGCAATTAAATTTGCCTATCAAATTGTGCCTGTTAAAGTTATTACCCACACAGGGCAAGACAAATTGTGGTCTGCAGCGGACACTTCACGAATTGTCAGGAGTACAAAAAAGGATTGTCATTATATTCGCTCCCTGTTTGTGCTGAAAATTTCGATCTTCAAGCTTGTTATTAAAATTTGATTTGAAGTTAATCCAACTGACTGCCTACCTGCTGTGCATGCTCTGATAAGATCCGCCTTATACTTGTTGCAATAACTTGGTCCTTCTCCACAATTTTTATCAAGAAGATTCATAAAATCATAACAACTTTGACTGGCATTCTCAGCTTTCTTAGTGCAATTTACCACTAGTTCACACTAAAAAAGAATATTTTAAGCTGATGAAATTCTCTCCTTATTCTTACATTTCATAATGCCACATCCACATATGTAGCTTGTAGTTGTTCAAGTCTGATCACATGACTGGTTTTATCGTGCTCAGTATTGCTGCGTAGAGAGCGAGCCTGAAGCGAGCGAGCGTAGCAGCAACCTAATATGTGCAGAGAGGGGGTTTTGAACTAAATTTTATTTAGCGCATGGAATTGTGGTCGTGCGCGCTTTCTATGCGCAGAACACAAATTTTAAACTCGCTCGAGTCTTCGAATTTTTGTCGAATTTCTAAAGCTTTTTCAAGTCTAATGTTACGCTTACATTTGTTTTGGACTTTGGCTACTGATATAGTTCCATATGTTTATAAAGTTTTGGTTTCTTAGTGTGATAAATCTGTGTATATAGTCTATATAATGACAATGTGGTAAATGCGCCTAGCAGTAAACAGACTTGATATGAAATCTGATCTTAATTTACCTGTATGTCAATGAGACACACATGTTTAATATCACACAGGTAGCAGAGACCGGTAGCCAGAATGTATTTTTCATGTGAACGGTACTTATTCCTTTGTGGAAGCACACCAGCACGCTGTTTCTAGAGGCTCTAATTCCTCCCACAGTAAGCATATACTTGACAATATTTTTTCATGTTTCAATGAGTCCCAAAAAAGCCTTTAAAACTAGCTAGTTAAAATACACAAAATAACTACGCGCGTTATTTATTATTTGCGCATTATACTCTCTGATTTTCAAATAATGCCAGGGCTGTAGCCACCGGTTTCAACCCTATACCGGTTTCAACCCGGTTTCAACCCGGCTTCAAAGTCAGCACTTAAAAAGTTTGTTTTCGAGGATTTGGCCTATGCGTCAATATCATATCTACAGAGTTGTGTTTATTAGTGTTTACTTATTATTCAAACTAGTTTCTTGGGGCTAGTATAATAAGAGTAATATGACGTTCATCATAACCTTGCACTGCTTTTAAAACTCCCCACAAAATGCAGGAGAAAGCTTTTTAGATTTTAGGAAATCAAAACTTTCCTGCAGGACCATGACTGTTTTTAATACGCCTTTGGCACTCGCATGCACCATGCACGCACAAGCTGACCAAGTCCAAATTGGTGGTTACGGCCCTGTAATATGCTGTGGTTGCACTGATTAATGACAATTTTACATTACCTTTTGTTCGACATCCGTTGCCTTCAGTAGTGATGGCAACAACCACAGAGTCACTATGAAGATGCAAAGTTGAGCAAAAGGCTTCATTGTTTCGTAGCACTCTTTCGTATCGAAACCTGTGGCTGTGTAGTAACTATAAAATATAAGTTAATTACTCAAAGCGCAGTTAATAACTATGCTCAAAGTTATTAAAATGATGCTTGGTTAGCAGATCGAATTGACGTCAATGGCTGCATAAGATATTTCCTGCGTTGACAAATTGCTTTTATATTCAAATTTGTCCAATATTGGCCTTAGATATGTCAAAACTTCGTCGGTTACACCGGATGTCCTGCTTTTGACATAAGCAAACATGTTTCGATTCGGCATAGTACAAAACATGGACTGGACCCATGGACTGGACCCATGGACTGGACCCAAAATTGGACTCAAAATTGGACTCAAAATTTTAGCCAAAATTTTGCCCAAAAATCCATTATTTATTCGGAGAGAAACAACCTTCAGAATATCGCGCTTTGATTTAATTTGTATAGGCAAAAAACTTCACGTTCCATCACTTTTTCCTTGATCTATTTAGCTATTTGTCTTCCAAAATTCTATAGTTTATGATAATAAAATAGAATAATGCATAATGATAAGCCCACATATAGCTAGTTGCGATAAATGTTAGAATATATGGACAAAACAAACTTTGCGAACTCGTTACTCGTTAGAGGATATATATGCCGGAATATATAGAGGGTGTATTAATAATACAGACACAAAATGTATATAATTAAAATATAACTATATATTGATGTTAACATCAATATATTGATGGAATGATTTATATCGATGTGATGTATTTGTGACCATTGCGCAAAGATATTTCACAAAGGTTTATTATTTACGAATTACGAGATAGGCCTACCCTAGATAACGTTTAGAAAATAGAATATATATAGAATTTTGGAAGACAAATAGCTAGATAGGTCAAGGAAAAGTGATGGAACGTGAAGTTATTTGCCTATACAAATTAAATCAATTAAGCACGATATCAGTCTGAGGGTTGTTTCTCTCCGAAAAAATAATGGATTTTTGGGCAAAATTTTGGCTAAAATTTTGAGTCCAATTTTTGGTCCAATTTTGAGTCCAATTTTGGGTCCAATTTTGAGTCCAGTCCATGGGTCCAGTCCATGTTTTGTACTATGCCGTTTCGATAAAGCTCAGTAATGGCCTAGTAGTGGCAATATTAACTTCCTGTATGATTCAGCGCCAAGTGATTATATTGTGATTATATTGGCAGGTAATTCACACTATACCTTTAGGTACCTATCAAGCAATAGAAGACGAAATTAACTTTTAATTTACGCCAAAGTATCTTATTTGCTTCTCAAACGTTAATACAATATTTGTGATATTTATTTAGGTGATATTCGTAGCTCACCTCTACTAGCCTTTGCGCAGCTGGCGGTTTTAAAGCGTTGGGTTGAGCCGTTGAGGCGCGGGCACGAACGACTCTGCGTTGATAATGTGTTATATATAGTTTGTAAAACTAGGAGTTGGGCATCTCACTCATAAAACACACGGAAAAGTCGTCGTCTAAAATGACGAGAGCCCGTTAAGGCCATGTTACACGGTACAATTTTTCTTGCAACTTGCAATGCAATTCTACTCTTGAGAGATGTAAAATTGCCAAATACGAGTCTTCATTACCTCAAAGTGACAAAACGTAACAAAGCAACGGTTTTACTAACACTACTCCAGTCACTCCAAACACCAACTCTAACCATAATTATTACTCTAACGATTATCGTGCACTAAAAGTTGTTTTTTATTCCCTAGAGTATATAGTGTACACTAACTGATTATGTTTCTACTTTTATTCTAACACGTACAAGACGTTATAGTTTGTCTTGACGACTTGAGTCAACAGATATATTTTCAATTCCGTTTTAAATTTCTTTTTTGTACATGATTCATGAATCTTTTATGGAGTTGTTTTTTTTTATTTTTACACTTGGTTCAATATTCCGCTGCCTAATGTCGGAATGATGGATTCGATCGAGAAGTTTTTTATTTCCCCCCAAAGTGTTAGAATTCGAATTTCCGTCGAATTTAATTTGCTATATATATAATATGCTGATGCTTCTGAATTTTACTCGACGGAATTTCAGAAAGTCAAATAAATAAAACCATGCACTCAAGACGTCCGTTTCTCTAGAAAACAAACCCAGTAGCGTTGATTGAATTAAACGAATTAGATTCGACGGAAATTCGACGTCTAATTATAAAAACAGGCCTTAATAAATCACGAAAAAGTATACTATGGCCGATTATCACCAGGCACAAAACTGTACATGAATCTTTTATATTTTTTTTTCAGTTCAATATTGCATGACGCATGAACAAATATCATATTTCCCTTAATTATTAAACACTTGGTTCAATATTCCGCTGACTAATGATGGATTCGATCGAGAAGCTTTTTATTTCCCCCCAAACGGTTTTGGTTCAATATTGATTAGCTATAACAAGTATAAGGTCGACTGTGTTAGAATTCGAATTTCCGTCGAATTTAATTTGCTATATACAGGGTGTATCAAAATAAACGCAATTCATCTTTTGTGCTTAATAACTTTCGAAATACTATTTCTAGTTAAACGCTTTTAGGCCACTATTTGTTGTATATTAGTTTCTCATCCTCGCCCGCATGCTTTTTAAGAAAATGGTCTTGTTCGCCATTATTACAATTATTGCCATTTTTGACCATTATTATAAATTTTGTGATGTCTTCAAAATGATATTTGAAAGAAAGACAATTAGAAACGTTCCCAAACCAAAAGTTTCAGTTAAGATACGAAATTTTATACCAAAACTGCCAGTCTCTCTCGCGTTTACGTAAACGTTCTACAGGATGCCAGGGGCAGGGAAAAAAACGCGAGACGACTTGGCTACAAAATTATTTCTCTTTTCTGTGATTATTTCACATGTGGTCATGTGGAGTGGTCATGTTTTTAATATAAAAACATGGTTTCAGTTGCATTCACTAATTTTGTGCTGTTTTGCAATGCTATAAATAATGGCATAATGGTAATGGCCCGCCCGCCCGCATCAACTTTAGGTGAAGCCACGGTTGAGAAACTAATATGCAACAAATAGTGGCCTTAGGCTTACTTCAAAGCCTGTTCTTATCTCTTTCAAGCAAACTATTATCCTTGTCTCCAATGCTAGTAATAATTGCACAGGAAAAGATTTAGTAAAACCTATCATTTTTAGTTGCTGTTTAATTATGCAAGTTTACTATGTTATTGTTTAGTCGGTTTAAATGTTAGAATTTTCTTCTTTAATTTTTTAATGTTGTCGTCACTACATCTGGAAAACCACGTAAGAACAAATTAAAGTATTTTAAAAGAGACCAGGTTGTTTGAAAATCCTAAACGAATGCTAAAATCGTCAAAACATTCTGGTGTCTGAGCCAGAGTGTCATCGAATTGCGATGTAATGTAAACAGAAATTATAGCAAGTTGATGTCAGTCAGCTTAGATGGTCCAAGCCAAAATTATATCGCATTTGAAGTTTCAAATTGAGTTAAAAATAGTGGAAGAAAAGCCGTAATTATACTTATTGTTACAATCCATTTAATAAAATGCAACATTTTTTGTTTTAATGAAAAAATCAGTTATTTTCATGAGAACGATTTGTTATTCCATCTCAATTTTTTTAATCTCCAATCGCAATAACGTAAAGTATTATTAGCCGCGAACCAATGAGTCAAATTTAAGAAACAACCCACTGTTAGAAAGCTGAATGGCTACGCTTTAAAATGAATGTAAACTTTAACGTTTCCGTCTATTATTTGTTTAGCAATTTACATTTCAGTCGAGGATTGCGCTTTTTTTTATACACCCTGTATATATATATATATATATATATATATATATATATATATATATATATATATATATATATATATATATATATATATATATATATATATATATATATATATATCGCGACGTTTTTAATCATGTTTACTATCGTCTTTAATCATGTTTAAACGTTCACTAACTATTTAAAACAGTGCTTTCTTTGCATGCAAGCATGTACGTTGTTGAGTGAATTATATACTTTAGTGACAGCGATATACTTGTAACTTGTTTACTTTGCTATGGTTTTATAATTATTCTTTACACGAACGTATATATTAAGCCGTTTAAGGTGGAATTAATATTTGAATAAAAGCAATTAAAATCAATAAATTTATCTTTTCTATTGTTTCTAAAAGGCTGTTTAATAAAGGAAATAGAAAACATTTTTTACGTGTTCCTATAGAGTTTATAGAAACACTTGTCCAAGTTTACATATATATATATATATATATATATATATATATATATATATATATATATATATATATATATATATATATATATATATATATATATATCTCAGCTAGATTAATGCATGGCTCCGTCCACGTATTGACCTTTATGCACCACGCGGGAGGCGCGCGTGTCTTGATACTATTCGTCATTCACGTGGGCGTAATAAAGTTCCAAAATGTCTTCTTTCAAAATGTCTTTTTGGGTGGGCAAATTAAACTAAAACTTAGGACCATACTTTATACATTGCAGAGTACCTGTATATCAAATCAATTTTAAATTTTGCGCCAAAATCCGAACGAGTTAATATATTATTATTATTATGATTAGAGTTACGCGTATTACTGTCAAATGGCTCTTGTCAAACAGCAGATAATAGCAAGATGTAGCGTTTGTAAATTCACTTGCGTCTCACTAATAAATACACGAAATATTGTTGTGTAAAGCTGACTCAAATTTTAAATAGCTATATATATCAACGAATGTTTGAAATGGGAAAATATTTGGTTTTATTGATCTCGTTCGGATTTATAGTGCATTCCTCATATAATATTTTTGCGGTTTGATAAATACCTACAATTATGCAATAGAGGATTTAGTTAACACGATATGCCGCTATTTCGTCGGTATATTTATAGTTGTATATGTCGTCTACGTAATTCTTAAACATTTTCACAGTTAAATTTCTTCACATTAGTAGCAATCTAATCACAATTTCGCATCCTCTTTACGATATAAATATTATCTATGTTTTAAATCGTCAGTAATAAATCTAATATTGTTCGTTCTGATAGCCAAATTATTGCTTTTGAAGCGGTAAACTGGATTTGAGATTCCTGTTGTTGCGTGATCATCTTACAACATTGGAATGTTAATTTTGTATATTTATGTGTGTATCCGCTAAACTTCCAACGCGGGCTCATAATGATGGCGGCGATACTAAAGTGATCGCGTGGAAGAAAACACGTTTGCTTTGCTGACCGCGGTTTTTAGTCAGTTTAGTACATTAACAACGCTTTTGTTTAGTGGAAACCTCGCAGTTTACGAAACGAATCAGCCCCTGCACCGAGCTGGCTTCGTTTCAAAATAATGTGCACTTATTGACACCAGAGCATAGTGTTAGTTGCATGTTATCGAAAATATATAAAATTCTAAACGGTGTAGGAACAGGGGCTGATTGGATCCGTAATCTGTGAGTACTAAAGAACGTTAATGTGTAAATGTTAGTTTATCTGAGTGAATATCCACGAGCGGCAGCGGCCTCGTTTTGGTCATTTGGATGGAGACCATTTAAATGGTCACGTGACTGTTGCCATGGCAACAAAGGCATAGAAAAAAAGTAAAATCCTATTGTCCTCATATACCAACATTGACCACATTCATACAGACTAAACTGATTTTTTTATATAATTTAATGTTATCAGTATTTTTGGCTATATTTGAATGCCAGCCATGCATTAATCTACCTGAGTGTGAGCTAGGTACGTCAGGAGTGTAAGCAGTGGCAGTAAGTTGGAGGTAGGTCTTGTGGAGGTATGTTTTGCAGGAAGAGAGAGTGTCGAAGCTGTTCGAAGGAGCAGTTTTACATACATAGTTCCACAGATTTACAATCCTAACAAAGTAGGAACTTTGGAATGTGCTAGTTTTACAAGCTTGTGATCTTAAAAGCTGAGAAGTTCCTGCGCGTGTTGTGCTTGTCGTACTTTCAACATAATGTTCCACGTCAAGGTCTATCATATTTTTCTTGCATTTATAATAAAAGATCAGATCTTTCTGTTTTCTATCGTACACAAGCGGAACTAGATTAAGTTTTTTAAACCGTTCCACATAAGAAAGTTCACCACGTTTTTTCATCAAGACCCACATTGTTGCTCTCTTCTGGACACCTTCGATTTTTATTGAGAGCTGCCTGCTACTAGGACACCAGATTTCACATCCGTACGTGAGCTGTGTTTTAACCAACGTCAAATACAAGTTCGCCTAACTTGGGTGTTCGTAATTTCAAAGCATGTTCTTTTAAGGAGACCAAGCATTTTGTTTGCCCTTGCAACCATCTTTCATATGAGGGCCCCATTTCAGATCGCTAGATACAAGATGGCCAAGATCTTTTTCAGGTCCGCCTAACTTGGGTGTTCGTAATTTCAAAGCATGTTCTTTTAAGGAGACCAAGCATTTTGTTTGCCTTTGCAACCATCTTTAATATGAGGGCCCCATTTCAGATCGCTAGATACAAGATGGCCAAGATGCTATGCATGGCCTAGCATGGTCCCAGAATGCCACCTTGCGGTACACCAGATGTAACAAGAGACCACGAAGATGCTGCGCCCTCGATAACAACTCTCTGCTGTCTGTCGTTCAAATAGCTTTCGAACCAACGTAGAAGAGAGCCATTTATACCATGTATTTGTAGTTTATGTAGCAGAACATCGTGATCTACCGGGTCAGACGCTTTCGAGAAATCGATGTATAAAACATCCACCTGTCTATTGTTATCCAGACTTTTCCCTATGTCGTGTAATACACTTAGAAGCTGTGTCACGCATGAACGATTCCGATTTCGCATTATTATTATGGTGTATAAAAAATTTAGATCAATTATGTAAAATTTCGCCGAAAAGCCTTGTGAAATAAAAATACAATGTAATGTGAAATAAAAATACAATACAATACAATGAACAGCTTGCAAGAAATTGTTGTCACCTGACATTCGAGATCATTTCCAGATTTAGAAAGCCATGCAGTGAGAAAACAGGACGGGTTCAATTCGACTGCGTGCTGGCCACGTGCTCCCGAAGTTGCTCTCTAATGACTTTACAGTAATAATATGCAAACAGAACTATGGCAGACATCTAAATATTTCTCACTATTAAATATAATATTTTACAGTTTATCAATGAAATGCCATAACTGCAGCATAAGTAAGAAATACCAATAGTTTGACAAAAGCTTGGAATGACTATTATATAAAACGTCTCGGAAACAAAACGAACTGACATTACTGACTCTGTAGTAAATAGACTTCACTATAAACACTAGACATTAATGCAGACATTTATAGTTCACCGGGACAATACGCTCGACATCGGCATGTTGCCTCTGGAGGAAAATTTCAATTTTATTTTATTATTTACTATTAACTGAGCCATGTAAACCTAGCTCTATCGCGATATAATAATACAAGAATAAGAAGAAGAAGATTAGATTAGATTTATTAAAAGACTTGAATGGCAGTTCAAAATCGAACTGAAAAACACAAGTTGACATAGTTTAAAATAGTAGAACAAAATACGTATATACAGATTATAAATACGCTCGTAATACTAATTACAATAACGTAGGATTGCTAATTTACAAATGATATATTAATCTATAGAAGCCTAAAAGTTTAATTAAAAAGAGTTCCATTTGTGTACGCAATATGGCAAAAGACTATCATTATAGCGTTTAGTTCGGGTTTTAAAAAGTGAGATAGATCGGGAATGTCTAAGATTGTACTGATGATCTAAAGGTTCAGGTAATAGATTAAACATTTTGCTGGAAGTGTCACTATAATTGTTTTTGTAAAAAGATCTGGATAACAATTCCCTTCTCTCCTCGAGAGTGGGCAACTTTAGCTCTTTGAGGCTTTCGGAGTAGGACAAGTGGGGAACAATAATTTTGAACACACGCCTCTGAATGTGCTCTAATTCATCAGTCAGGAACTTTGGTAACGAGTATGCCAGACTGGACACGCATATTCCAAGACAGGTCTGATAAAACTACAATATACTGTCCTAAGATCAATCGGTTGGACACCATTTCTTCTTAATATCCTTAAAGCGTACAGACGTTTGCTTGCTTTGGAGGATATGTGCCTGATGTGTGTAGTCCACTTAAGATCGGAGGTCAGATTTACCCCCAGGAGCTTGATGGTATTAACAGCCTCCAGGGGTTGGTTATTGACAATCAAGAGTTGCACCAAGGGTTGATTGATAAAAAATGACACGGTGAAATTCGGATAATGGTGTTAGGCGTTTCCAGGACAGAGAGCCAGTAGAGGACTAAATGCACGAGAGCGTGAGTGGTTGAAGACTTTTTCACACTACCAAACTGGAAAGAGTCGATGTATGGCATAACAATAGGGGCAAGCCAGTTGAAAACAAAAGACTCAAGAATTTTGCTCAACACTGCAGTTAGAGATATAGGTCTAAGGTCCGTATCAATAGACTTCGGTCTAGAGATCTTCCCCAACGGGAGGACATCCGCACATTACCACAGCCCGGGGACGCGACCTTCTCTAATAGAAGAGTTAAACATGGAACACACAGGGATGCTAATAGTTGTGGCGCAGGTTTTCAAAAGCCAATTGGGAATCTCGTCAGGTCCTACAGACTTGCGATCTCCGACAGCCACCAAAGCAAGTTCTACGGCATCACGGGTAATAATGTACTCATCAGGAATGTTGGAAACAGGTATGGGAGTAAAGTTTAGTTGTGGTATGTCAGCAGCAACACTGCAAAAGGATTCGTTAATAGCGACAGCAAGATCGAAGTCCTTCAAAACGGTGCCATTTACGGCTAAGCTTGTTAACAGGGGAGGATTAGAAAGTCCAGACAACAGCTTGATTCCGTCCCACCACTTTTTAGGATTACTCTCATGCATGTGATTAATTTTGTCATTGTAGAATCTTTGGCTTGAGTTTTATCACTTTATTGCGATAAACATTATATTGGTGTAAGTCATTATTCAACCAAGCTTGTTGACGTTTCTTAATAGATTGTTTAATAACAGGAGTAATCCATGGTTTGTCGTTAGGATGATGTTTCACAGTACGCATGGGGATACAGGAATTCAAAGCAACGTGAACTACCGACTTGAAAGAATCCAGTTGTTCCTCGCATGATTTCAGCCGCATGAGTGGCGTCCAGTTAACAGTATTCAGACGAGAGATCAAATTTTTTTTGTTAGGAGCTCGATAATCACGCTTTTGCAATCGTGTGGTTGGTAGACTTGGAGCATGTGTCAAAATAGGTTGTGCTAAGATACTGGAATGATCGGATTGGCCAATAGGAGGCAGGATGATGGCATCGTAGTAAGGTGACAGAGTTGAAAAAGCTTGGTCAAGGATATTACTTTCCCTGGTGGGCTTGGTAACCAGTTTCTTCAATCTAGAAGAGTTGCAGAGATTACCTGGTTTGAATTGATTGAAATCACCGAATTAGGATAGGTGGCAAGTAAAGAATCCAAACATTTGAAGATATGCATTCGAAGAACATGGTCATCGCCCTGAGGAGGATGGTAAACTGTTCCCAATAAAATAGAGTTGATTTCTCGTGGTAAGCGTTCCATTCTGATTAGAAACCATTGACTCTCAATTTCTGGCTCACTCAGGTCAGTTAATTCAGTAAAATTAAGTTGTGAATTGAAATAGGTAGAAAGACCGCCCCCGCGTTTGTTATTTGGTCTATCCCTTCGGCACGATACATAGCCAGGTATACGAATAAGTTCATCAGTTACTCGTGAATTTAACCATGTTTCAGTAATTACGACAACATCGTATAATTCGGTGGAAATTGGTGCTGAGACCTCGTCTAACTTATTGACCATCGACCTAACATTACTAAACCAAATCTTGGGGAAGCGTGGAATTGTAACTGATCTCCGCAAGGGGATTAATGAACTATTATCAGGGACACTGATGCACTCAGGCCGTTTGTTTTTCCTGGGTTTCATGATTGTAGGAATCGGGTATTTGTTAAGTTCCTGGTTATGTGAAATGGCACTTACAATGTTTTGAGGGGGTAAAAACGACGAGATTTGGGTTAGCATATTATCTGCTTCGTGCGACAATGAGGTGTTCGTTTTCGACTTGAATTAACTTCTCCTGAAGATTTGTAATAGTCTTGTTTTTTCTTTTAAAATTACGGAAAACTCTTGGAGAAACGTTTCGAGTCTAAGATCATAAGGTACGCGGCCACTCTCGAGACCTGAAGGTATCAGAATAGCACTCATGGACTCAATAATTGCGTTAGTGGAGTCTATGATTGCATTGACAGAGTTCCTTTGTGTTTGTAAAGCCGCGACGTCCGATTTAATATCCTTCAAAACCTTACTATCGATTCTGCTTTCACAGCAATAACCATTATACACAGATGAATTGATATGAGTGCTAGTATTGTTGGTAGTTTCGTCTAAATCTCCCGACAAAAGAGTAGGTTCAAGGGGTATTTTGGTTGTTGTATTTAATACTCCGTCCGTGATAGCGTCTGTTTGATTTGCAGAGTTTGTTTGTAAAATACGCACCAGAAATTTCTTGAATGATTCGCCTTCTTTACCGTGGAATATCAAAGAGTTTAGCTTTCCGGGATACCAAGTCATAACAAAATCGAGATTCGAGTCATTAAATCGTTTTGCTCTACCGCCGGGCGACTCCCATTCACCGCTTAGTCCAGCGACGTTTTTAACAAAATTTTGTAATGATGAAAAGTCTTGAGCCCATTTAATGCGGGTGCCATCATAAGTTAGGTAAGCTTGATTATTTAACAACCTAATGGGCTCTAGATCGACATTCTCCAGGATAAAATCCGTATGATTAAGTGAGCTCGAAATTTCACAGCTGACCGCCATATTGCTAGTGTCTAGGACGTACTTGCAGGAATGCTTTCTCGAGGTCGCTTGTAAGGAGTATTAGAGACCTTACGATTTTAGGACGGCAACCGCGACGGTAACGGCTACGAATACAATAGATCATTGAGAAGAATTGAGTAATTACAATAAATGAATAATTTAGACATTGTCCTCGCTCTGTTTACAACGCCAAATCACATATTTTCACGTGTTGATACAACGGCTGCATTTCAAGCCACAACAAGTGCAACTTCAAACGGTGTTTAGCACAACTCTTCCCAACCATAAAATCCATGTTTTCAACTTCTAAGACTGTACTAAATTCATACGATTGATAATATACGACAAACTATCGACTACCATTTATTTGAAGGAGTTTATTTTGGCCGTCGCCGTCGCGGTTGCCGTTCTAAAATCGTAAGGTCTCTATTGGGTAGAATCGCGAACGTACAAGGATACTCCAAAGAAGATTTTGCAGAGGAGGGCCAGGATTCAGGCAGTCATTCAGTGATGATTGGGCGTAATAATAATAATAAGCTAGCTGATATAAATCAGCCGCTAGCTGACTTAGAATTTTATATCAAAACTATCCACTGGCACTTAGGCCTGTTTTATACGTCGAATTTCGGTCGCGTCGAATGCATTTCAAACAATAGATAATGAAGCTTAATGAGGTTTATGATCTCATTATGTATTGTTTGAATTGCACTCGACACAACCGAAATTCGACGTATAAAACAGGCCGCATTCATGTATACATCGCCCCGTATCTTTCATAGATAAACCAGTGTGTTATATTATAATACTATCAACCTCAAATGTAATACACCCTAGTCTACACGATTTCAGCATTTCACAACGCCGCTCAATAGCGCTCGTCCATGTCCGCCATTGTAAAATAATAACATATGAGAACATGTGTACTGTGCACCTGTATTTATGTTGCAGGGGGGCATATCATATTTTATCAAGTGCTTGAAATGCAACAGTAATTTGGTTACAACTTCTCTAAATGTCTGATAAATAAGTAAGAACATGTACTATCATGAATATAAATATAGTTTGTTATAATCTACAAACAGCTATGAACGATTAGTTGGCCGAACATCGCGAAGCTCTAGAAAACATGATAAAAGGTCAATTGCAAGCTCCCCCCGGATTGTTTACTCTATCAATCCATAGATCGATCGGTCACTGAATTGAATTTAACCTCATAGCAATAGTTCAAAGCAACTTTGCACTAAAAACGACAAAAACGATTGACGTCCAACAGCTCCATCTTGGCTTCACTTTTTGGACTCGAGTTCTCACTCCAGATATAATATGGAGCTCACTGCTACACATACAGTGGTTCGTCCTACTCACCCAGATATAATACGGAGCTCACTGCGACACATACAGTGGTTCGTCTTACTCACTCCAGATATACTATGGAGCTCACTGCTGCACATACAGTGGTTGTTCTTACTCACTCCAGATATAATATGGAGCTCACTGCTACACATACAGTGGTTCGTCTTACTCACTCCAGATATAATATGGAGCTCACTGCTACACATACAGTGGTTCGTCTTACTCACTCCAGATATAATATGAAGCTCACTGCTACACATACAGTGGTTGCTCGTACTTACAGAACTAAACAAGAGTTAGACGCCTGGTCGATTAGTCCCTTAAGCAGACCAAAATGCGAAACAAGAACTTTGTCACAAGGCTCCAAATGTAGAATCATGGATAATAAAATAAATGGATAGGAAACTAGCTGACGTGATCTAATGTTTTCAATGGGCTGATGGCGTGGTTGGATGTTGAAACCTAGTTGCAAACCAAATTCTCAAAAACAGCATGTTTAGCAATAATACAGCTGAACATTTTAGTCAAAGGGCAAATAAATCTGACTACGCCATTCTACGATGAAATCTCTAAGTATTCCCAGTCAAATTTGGCAAATACTTCAAGCACTAAACAGTGAAAAATTCATCGCAAATTACGTTAAAATTGGGGACGCCAATTTCGTAGCTACAAATGTAAAAAATACAAAACAAAGACTAAAAACATTTACCTTGAATACTTTGTCGTGACTTAGGCATGTTTTTAAAACAATTAGACCAGTTTAGGCTTCAATATTACTCTTTTAAAGCGGAAAATATAGCGAAACAACAAAAATGCCGAGAACTTTGCAATACGCGTGACGTCACAGATTGCAACTAGGTTGTTTTTGCTTACGTCAGCTAGAGTCCTATCCATTTATTTTATTATCCATGGTAGAACTTACCTCAATTTTGATCGGATATACGATATACTCGTGTGCTTGTCCTTGGAATTTTTGTAAAGGATAAGAGATATAAAGTTGAATGGATTGTAGATCACTTTCGCCTGTATTTTTAAGCTGTAGAGTAAGAGGGAAAAATAAAAATAAGGAATGAAGTCAAAGGGTAAAAACTGTTATCGAAAGACTTTAAATATTGGATGTATCTATATTATAAATTAGGACATTTCGATACATCGTACTCTTGATATACATTTGGTTCATTAATTTAAACTCTAATCTATATTCATTTAAAAGCATAGCAAACCAGAACGATGTTAGATATTAGCTAAGTGCATTATCCCCGAGCCAACGGCGCGGAGCGCCGTTGCGGGCGTAAGCCCAGGGCGAGGGTGCTAATTCCGCCTGGGGAAAGGAACGCATTAGCGAAGTCTAAAGTTCATCAATGATCGCGGACGTGGGTCACTGTGCGTGGATGGTCATCTCACTGATCTCAAATATGGCTGTTTGCCAGGAGTGAAGAAGGCAAAAATATATAACTTTGCTTTCCTCTTTATTTAAATATTTTAATATACAAAAGAAAGGGTAATTAATAAAAATACACTGCAATTAAATGCTGTCTTTTTTCACTTATATACGCAACGATCGTATCAGTTTTTAAAGCAATTACGAACAGGGCCGAACGCAGGATTTTTTCATCAGGGGGGAGTAAGCCCTATATGCCGAAAAAAGTCCCAAATATCAGAAGAATAATTAATAATAACATTCTAAAAATCGTAAATATAGTTTTCGCTTGGGGAGGGGGGCCTTGCCCGACCCCCCGACCCCCCCTCGCTGTGTACGGCCCTGATTATGAAACAAACAATACATCAATATTAAACACAAACTTACCTTCATTAACGTCGGCGACTTTGCTCAATTCTTTTGCACGTTTTTAGACTTTTTTGGCTCTCAGAAATGTTTTGATATTTACAAAATCTTGCAAAAATATAACTTGCAAGAAATGTTTGTTATTTCGCTGTCGTCATGCAGTTGTTATAATGCAAATTTCAAATTTGACCAATCAGGCAGGCAGGCAGGCAATACTTTATTTAAATTTAACAAAAAGGTACACGCTAGCCCCATCAACTCTTGGCTGATTTCCATGAGAGGCGTGTTAAATATTAAAAATGTTTGAAAATAAATAAATAAATAAATAAATAAATAAATAAATAACTATATCTAAATACTATATATACACACTTTTCTATATACAAATGTATGCATGTCACTATCCAACATTTAATCTAAACGTATGGGAGCGGATTCCAGTGCAAAGCACCACTATATTTAAAGCTTTTTTTTTAATTCTCTTTTTGGCTTAGGTAATGTAAGGTCTGTTGCAGTATTGCGGAGATTGTAATTAGTTTGATCCATTTCTCTACCCCCGAAGAGCCGGCACAGTGTGGTCATTAAGTATTTTATACATCAATACTGACTTGGCACCGGAACGTCTAGTTTCAAGAGTGTCCCACGAGAGTGAGTTAAGAACATCAGCTGACCGACTCATAATTAGCACCCGTTACAACCCTCGCTGCCCAGGATTGAAAATTTTGGAGCTTATCTCTTAACAACTTGCCACAAGTGTCCCACAAAGGGGAACAATAATCAAAGTATGGCTGTACGAAGCTTTTATAAACAGATTCTAATGTATGCATCGGAACAAAAAGGTTTCATACGTCTCATAACGCCAATAGCTGCACTTACATTCTTGCATATGAATGTAATATGACTGTCCCAATTCAAATTTTTATCGAGTTTTACTCCCAGACACATTTGTGTACTGATTCGTGGTATTGGGTTTTGCATTTACCATAATAGGCTCTTCACACCCTAATTTATTAAGATTGTGTGTGGAGCCAACAAACATCATTTTACATCTAGATGGATGCATCTGCAATCTATTTCGTGTCATCCATTCAAAAAGATGAGCAAGGTCCGAATTTAGCTTTAGAACAAGTTCATTTGCATCATAAGACGATGAAAATATTTGAGTGTCGTCCGCATACATGAAAGGAGCGGTTGATCTCAGACAATCAGGCAGGTCATTAATATATAATAAAAATAACAGGGGCCCCAGTATAGAACCGTGAGGCACTCCACAGTTAATCCTTTTTTTGTCAGACAATTTGCCATTAATACTGCATTGCTGTACTCTATTGATTAAATATGATTCGAACCATTTTAGTTCCGAGTCAAAGATTCTAAATTGTTCATTCATTTTATTCAATAAAACACGATGATTGATAGAATCGAATGCCTTTTTGAATTGATAGAATCGAATGCCTTATGCCTACTATTCACGACAGTGCGCTATACATATTTTGAGATCAGTGAGGATGACCACCCATGAACTGTAAGCCATGCGCCCGCGATATTTGATGAACTTTAGGCTTCGCTAGTGCGTTCGTTTCTCCGGATGTAAATAGCCGGGCGGAATTTTTTACCCTCGCTCCGGGCGCTCCGCGCCGTTGACTCGGGGATAAATATAGACTTTGTTCTTGTTGCTCAAGTCTTTCCTACGCATTGTATGCGAAAGTTTCTTAGTTAAATTATCTTTTGTAGAAGTGCATGATAAAAAAGAAAGCGAATTATGTTCATAAGCGTCCTGTACGAATTAAATTTATTTCATTTCAAAGTGCGAGTAATAAGTTGAAGCTCGAGTTGAAGAGTTTATTAGCTTAATATCGGTAAAAAGCAGTTAATTTCAATTCACATTTAAAAACGTTTTACCTAGAGTTTCGTTTTGAATTTTATATTAAAATAAAGCCCATAGAGAGCAAAATAATATACCTATACTTTATATATTTTATAAATTGATAGTTCTGTATTTAAAAGTGTTCAAGTTTCATTTATTTTTTGCAGGTTTGTACAAAAAGTTTAAAAACAATTATCGTATTGCAATTATCATGACTAACATAACGTGCAACGCGAGCCTGCGTTCAGTGTTGGCATAATTACGAACACTTCATATTGAAACAATGTTTGGAAAATATAGGGGAGGGGTCGTTGCATGCATGTATTTCTAGTATTTTATGAATATATTGTCTTCGAAATGTAACCTCAGAGATCCCAAGGATAGTGCAAAGTTGATCTGACAACTGATCAGAAAGCACTATGGGGGGTGAGCACTAATGGGCCCAGATACCAATGCCCCACATCGACCTTAAATCGATCCCACATCGACCCAACATCGGCCTCTCATCGACCCCTCATCGACCCTACATCGACCTCTCATCGACGCCTCATCGACCCCTTATCGACCTAACAGCGACCTGGCATCGGCTAGCGTCGACCTAACATCGAGGCCCTTTAGTGCGCACACCCTCAATATTGTGTTTGTCACATTAAACGAGTTCGGTGACGCCAAAATGTTTTCTGATTTTACTATACTGTAAGAATATCACAGACTTCAGCCCTGGCCCGCAAATTCTCATTTCGGAAACAATTACTGAGGAATCACCTCAAAGCAAAAAAGTGCAACAACAAAAAAGTATTAATATTTTGAAAGCTGCAGATTGATAAGAATATTTATTATATAAAAATAAAACAATATAAATATATACAGTTTTTGGCCACTGAGAAAAATCGTATTTAAACACCCGTAAAAATACGATATTTTTACGTGTGAAAATATCATTTGTTGTAAAACGCATTGCCACGGACGTTTTATTGTTTTTCACTGAATTTTGTTTTTATGTAATGTGATTCACCTTATTACAAACCACCTACCGTCAATGTAGCCACTGAATAATGCAGGCATTCTTTTTCCGCAGCTTTGTTTTCTGGGTATATGTTAAATAGCAAAGAATAAAACAATTTGGGATAATTTGGCTAGGAGTAACCTTTCTCCTAGCCGATTTATTGAAATTAATAAAACAATAATTAATAATATATGTATGAAAATATTAACAATTTTGCCCAGAAAAGGGTGGAGGCAGATTATCGCCCATCTGATTGTCATGAACTGAGATAGAGTATGTACACATATTTACTCTGAGTTACAAGATCAAGTTCGTATTAATACTGGATATTGTTATATATAGTAAGTGTTAATTAAGCTGAGAGGAGGTCTGGGGAGGAGGTGGGTTGAGATTTAATGTTGATCTGTTCACCAGCACAGTTGTAGTCGAATGATACTTGCTTTGCGTAGCTATCCATTTTATAATGATATCAACCACACCTCTCACCCCCTTACAAGCTTTTCGCGCTCTATTTTTAAGTATGGCGCCAAGCTAATAATATTAAGAGTTCTAATCTTTGTAACGGCTTAACACCTACTTCGCCATGTCTAGTTCTTGCTTATACAAGCACCTTAGATAAGACGATTTTACTCTGATAAATCACATTACATAGATTCCTTATTTTCTTCGCAAATATTTTGTTATATAATAAACAGAAAAATACATGGGTGCTTGGAAATACCAGATTTATTTCTCGTGTTGAACATGATATCTCACTCGTTCGCTGCCCTCACTCGTGAGATATCATGTTCAACACTCGAAATAAATCTGGTATTTCCGCGCACCCATGTATTATTCTCTATAACTACCTGACAAATACAACCAGGACGTTTCGAGCGAAGGCCTTCGAAGAGTTCTCGTTAAATTCTCGATGAAGAGTTTTCGTTCGAAATATAGAAGTTCTGCTTGTATTTTCCTGCTAGTTTATCTCTCTCAATCTACAGCTTTCTCTCTGCACTCACACAGATTGTTCAATATGTTGGCATTATTAATTTCTCCCTGCCCAATATATATTTCGCGAAGTGAGTGGATGTATGCAATGGACCTACCACAAAGGCAACTTTGACAAGTGGTCCAACAGCAGAAACGTTCACAGCTGAGAAGTCAGTGTTGTTTTGAATATTTAAAACAGGTGCGGTTGCTGGATAGTTCAACAGTTTTGGAACTGACGTGCTAAAGAAGAAAACATGTCGAAATCAATTATATTATGGCACTTAAGGTAGCTTTCTCGTGATTTAAAATTGGGATTTGTTACAAAAGTTAGTTTTACGCGTGCGTGAACACAAATATGATCTGTAATATATTTAGTAATTTGTAACATATACTGGAACAACTGTCAGTTTGTGTGAAGATGTTTTTTGCTTTCTTACAGGAGTGCTATGATGCAAAATGCCGCCAAAATTAAATATACCGATTTTGGACACGGACGTCGCCAAAAACGTCACTTGCGACAGCTCACTATTATTGTACACTTCCACAAGCGTACAAAGAACAAATGTTGAACCTCAGCAATGATGAGTCAACAATAAAAAAAGCATACATAAGTAATTAAATTATTAAAAAGTTGATAACTATGGATGACCTCTTACAACACTAATGGGAAATAATACTTTAACCTCCGCCAGTAGAAACTGAGGAAATTACTGTAAGAAAGTGTACAATGTACCCGGTAATTGCCATAGCGACGTCACGTTGAACAGAGACAAAAGCAGTGGCATTGTTGTCTTTCTCGTCTTTATCTTGACTAGCCGTCCTAAAGAAATCATTTAAAATTATTACTATTAAAATTAATGAGATTATTATTATTACTATTATTGATGGTTTATTTACACTTTTATCGCAAATAAGATTTGAATAATTACAAAGTGTTTACAAATTTAAGAAAGTTAAAAAGAAATATTTTACATTGTAGCTATACATATGGGTATATACAAAGGTATGCTAGAAGTTATTTTAAAATGGAGTAAGAAAGCGATTGGAGAGTTGGTATTTGTAATTACTTATTTATCTTTGCAATTGTGCTTGGGAAGAAGCTGTTTTTGAAGCGTTCTGTTCTGCACTTGTATAATGATAAGTCATTTGAATTCCTGGTGTTGTAGCTATTGGTTACCGTGAGAGCAGAGCCTGATTTCCCCTCGTGTAGAAAATAGAGGTCTGCCGTGTTTTTATTCGTAAATAAACCGGTAATAAACCAGTTCTAAACGGTTTTGAATGCGCGCGCCTTCGTTTCGCATGTAAACCGATGGTTACAATTTGAGCCCGCTATATATTTACAAAATTTAAAACTTTATACTTTATAACCGAAATTTGGCTGACAATAACTTAAATATACTGAAAAGTAACGTAGGATAAAATAAACTAGCAAGTTAGCAATTGTAAAAATATTGACAAGTGACAAACCTATCGATTTGAAAATGGTTTTGTATTGTTTATAATGTCGTAATTGTAAGACCCTTGTACAGCACGTGCAGTTGCACGCGCCCGGCATGTAGCGATAACTGCATGTGATTGGTTCTCTTAATTTAGCTTTATCATTCTAAAAATACAAGTGATCTTTGACATGTTTTGACATAATATTGGAAACAGAGCATGCGCGACACAAATTAAACACAAAAACGGCAGGGCCTTATTTTCTACGCGAGGGGAAATCAGGCTCTGCTCTCAGGGTATGTATTGGTGAGCAGTTGCTCTGGTTTGCAACACGTGTTCCTTTAGGGTGCCATGTTTAATAATTTTGCTCAACGACGAGGCGCCATAATATCGATAATTGGGGGGACAGATATTCATATATTAGTGTTCACAGACTGTAAAAACAATCGATTTCAAAAGAAATTAATTAGGCAGAACACGAATATATGAATATCTGCCCCCCAATTATCGATATTGCGGTGCCTCTGGCTCACAGTTTTTATGCAGATTGTGTTTCGTCTATTATCTAATCTTTCGCAACCCGCCATCACCAATGCTTCGTCGTAGAGATGGCCAGGAAATATGATACCAATTACTCGTTTTTGCAGTCTTTCCAATTCATCAGAATGGTATTGGGGCAACGAATCACTCAATACAAACTTAACAAAGACCTAGTAAATGCTCAAAAATGGTTATCAGCGAATAAACTAACATTAAACAACGAAAAAAACAAATAAATGATTATTGGATCTCGGCAACGATTGAAAAACTTAGATCACGTGCCAAAAATCAGTATAAACGGACATCAAATTGAACGAGTTTATAAAAAGGAAGCTTTGGGTATAGTTATAGACGATAGACTTAGCTGGAGTAGGCAAAATGAAGAACAATGCAACAAGATATCAAAAAATATTAATCTTTTAAGAAAAGCCAAAGATTTTGTTGGCCTAGATACGCTCAAAATTATGTATAACGCATTAGTCGCGCCTCATTTTAACTACGGTTCAACTGTTTGGCAAAATAACAACCAAACACACTTACACAAATTATATAAGCTTCAGAAACGAGCAGCAAGAACAATAACAAATTTGGACTATACTATAAGATCTTCGGACATTTTTCAAAAACTTAGCTGGAAACCTCTTGATTTAATTTTGAAAAAGCGAGATCTCCTTATGACATTTAAAGCGATTAATGGCATGCTTCCAGAATACGTAACACAACTATTTCACACTTGTGAAAACAATGGTTACGTACTGCGCAGTAGTAATTTAAGCTGTCTCAACCTAAACCAAAAACGAATTTCTTGAAAAATAGCTTTTCGTACAGAGGAGCAGCGTATTGGAACAACATCCCAGTAAACTTGTTGAAAACCTTAAGAGAATCAACAAGTTTAAAATCTGTCCATCATCTATTAAATAATTACATCTTGTAAATAAGTAAATAAGTAAATAAGTATATTTTGTAAATAAGTATAATTTAGTTCATTAGTTCCTTCTTTTATAATGCATTTATTTTCCGCACGGCCCTTTGAAAATCACCTATGTGAAAGGTTACCGTGTTTAAAGATCAATAATAATAATAATAATAATAATAATAATAATAATAATAATAATAATAATAATAATAATAATAATAATGATAATAAAACTTCACAACTATATTCCAAAATCGAACGAATCAGGGCGGGATATGTTTTAATGAGGTCAGCTGGTAGAATACCGCTCCGTCGCAAAATTCTGAGGATGTGCAAGCGTTTGTAACCTTTCGCGATTATGGATCGAATATGTTCGTCCCATTTGAGATTATTTTGAATGGTTAGGCCTAATGCTTTGCGGGACTGAACTATTTCTAGTTCGCGTCCTGCGATTGTTAAGGGTTGAAATTCGACGGATCTTTTAACGTAACATATTCTAAGTTCCTTGCATTTTATTGGGTTAAGAATCATCCAATTGTTGGAACACCATGATTCTATGAGGTGAAGGGTTGGTTGAGTTACTGACGATATATTCCCAGCAAGGACACCGTGCTATCATCTACAAACTTTTTGTATCAGGTGAGTTTACCTTCAAATCACCACATTTTTGCATCAGGTGTGCTTATCTTCAAATCATTAACCATGACAAGGAATAATATAGGGCCTAGTTTTGTCCCTTGTGGGACTCCAGCTGTCACGAGGAGCCAATTAGAAAGTGATCTACCAATCTTTACTCGTTGTTTTCGGTTCGTTAGAAAATTAATAATCCATGGAATAAGAGATCTTCTAACACCCAGGTCGTTCAGTTTGTCAAAAAGAATATTATAGCCGATTAATTCGATCAAAGGCTTTCGAGAAGTCCAAGAAGCAGATGCGAATGTATTTATTCTGTGAATCAAGGTGGGATAACCAAGTACGGAGCATGTCAAGGAGACAGTAAGTGGTCATAGTCCTTTTAGATATCCGATTGACAAGGGTCAGTCCTTCCATTTAGGACATCCAACATCCATCTGACCACGAAGTCTTCCAAGACTTTGGACAGGCCTGGGGTAAGGGATATAGGCCTAGTGTCGCTTTCGCTCTCTGGTTGATCGATCTTTGGGATTGGGATTGACTTTTGCTTCTTTCCAGATTTTTGGTACGACACTAGAAGAGAGTGATTTGTCAAAAATTATGGCGATTGGTTCTGTTAGAATATAGGCAAACTCTTTCAGAATTCGGTTTCGGATGTTGTCGACACCTGTTGCTTTGCGGGTTTGAAGCGCACAGAGTTTGTTGCAAACGACAAAGGGTTGAATAATAGGGATGTCGTTTCTTGCAATTGAAGGTAGGAACCCGGCAGGGAGTCTTTGCCGAGGGGTGGGATATAGAATTCGTTGAGGGCGGATGTGAGACTTTCACCGTTCAATGTTATACCGTCGCGCTCCAGGGAGAAAAATCTATTTTTTCTGGTTTTCCCGACATTTTATTTACCATTTTGCACCATTTGCGGGTGTCGCTAGATTTCTGTAAAATGACTTTTTCTTTTCCGCTATTTCAAGTTGGACTTTATTTTTCAGCAATCACCAAAGGGGGGTATTGTTACTGTGGAAGGCTTTCTGGCGGTCTTTTATAAGGTTCTTGATTTCTGGTGTTATCCAAGGTTTGTCAGTAATATGTCGTTTCACTGTTCTAGGAGGGAAAATACGATGGATTGGCTTGGCCAGTTGTGATGTAAAGAAAGATGCTAGGTCGTCGACCGTGGCGTTAGGAGCTGCTTACTCGAACTATTTACGCGTTGAGGCCCACCTTCCAAAGACGTCTATACTAGATTGAGGAAATCACTAGTCTATACTAGTGGGGGCTTTGACAACTTGCTTTAAATTATATCTTGCTGATAGGAGAGATGTTTCTAAGTCGTTAAAGTCCCCAAGAAGGATGATACCACAGTTAGTTTAATTTAATTTAATTTAATTTTAATTTATTTAATTTAATTTAATTTTAATTTAACAAATTTATTTGGATCAATATATATATATAACACATTTGAAAGCTAGATCCAAAACGGCAAGGTACGAACGGGACTCTTTGAAAAGTTCCCATGCAAGGCACCTTCCGGCGTCCAATTATATGATTATATGTACAGTTATATACTTATATTACACATAGTATACATATACGCACGCTCACAGACAAAGCACACACAGAGACAGGTTACACACACAGACAGGTTACACACAGACGCTTAAAGGCCACTTCCCACCAAAGTCGCCCCGCACGCGCGATTTTATCATGTGAAAAATTAGTTCTACTTTTATGGCGTGTCCGCGAGCATTCAGGCGGACAAAAATGAAAGTCCTTTCCGCTCGCGCGGGCAAAGCGACTGCACTGGAAAATAGCCCCAAAGATGGTCTATTAAACACACATTTATTTTCGCTGTTCTCTGTGACAGGGACAGTCACGCACCGAGAACCAAGTACAGGGTAGGTCAACATCATATACAGAGTGTAGAAGTTCTAAATAGCTGCGTTTAAGAAAGTTTTTGAAAGAGATAGGGCTAGAGAATGTATCTGGATTGACATCTTGACATACATTGTTCCACGGTTTGACAATACGGTTGAAATAAGATGATTGAAACGTAGCAGTTCTACACATAGGAGTTTGAAGCATTACACCAGTAGCTTGGCTAAGTCGAGTACGTCCATGTTGAATGAAAGAGACGCAATTGTTAATGTTAAGATCGACGTAACCGTACAACGCCTTGAAGAAAAATACGAGATCTTTCATCTCTCTATCGTAAGAGAGTGGTAAGAGTTCCAATTTCAACAGCCGTTGCTTGTATGGCATTTCACAAGTCCCGGTCCTTAGAATCCATTTTGTGGCTCTTCTTTGTACTCTTTCAATCCTTTCACTGAGTTGTCTGTTGTGAGTAGGCGACCAAACTTGTGTTGCATAGCTGAGCTTCGACTTCACCAGCGAGAGATACAGTGTACGTCGGATGTTGATGTCTGTGAGTGAGTAGCAAGTCCTCTTAAGCACGCCTAGCTGCCTATTCGCTTTCGATACCATTTCGTTGATATGTAAGTTCCACTGTAGTTTACTGGAGAAGATTACGCCAAGGTCTTTTTCGTCGTCAACTCTCGACAGCTCTGTCGACCCGAGGTGATAGGGAAAAGAAATTGGGGCCTTCTTGCGCGTTACCGACAATACTTTACACTTCGACCCGTTGAATTTAATGTTGTTATCCTGACTCCAAGTATCAAGGTGTGTTAAAGTTTCTTGCAACTGGTTGCAGTCATTCAATGATGTTATGTTCTTGTAGAGCTTAGTGTCGTCTGCAAATAGTGCTGGAATTGCTTTGTTGTTGATCACATCAGGAGCATCGTTGATGAAAATAACGAACAACATTGGACCCAGGATACTACCTTGCGGCACTCCGGATGTAACTGGGGTCCATTGCGATGTAGCACCGTCCATTACGACTCTCTGACGACGATTGTTGAGGTAATCAGCAAACCAATTTAACAGCCTTCCTGTTACACCGTAGCATTTGAGTTTTTGAAGGAGAATGGAGTGATCTACGGAATCAAAGGCTTTCGCGAGGTCGAGGTACGCTATGTCAGTCTGTTCGTTCGTATCAAGTTTTTGTCCTATGGAATGAAGCACGGAGAGCAATTGTGTAACGCAGGAACGATTTCGTAGAAAACCGTGTTGATGTGGAGTGATGAGATAGGAGACATGTTCGTAGAATTGGGAATACACGCAACGTTCCAAGACTTTGCTGACTATAGGAAGGAGAGAAATGGGACGATAGTTTTCTGCTGGTTCTTTCCGCTGCTTCTTGTGCAGTGGAGTGATGTTCGCTGATTTCCATTCTAATGGCATTCGACCACATTGCAGTGAATGGTTGAACAAGGTACATAGACTTGGTGCTATTTGTTGGGCGCACTCTTTCAATAGCCTGGACGGTAAACCATCGGGGCCACTTGCTTTTGATGTATCCAGACCATGCAAACAGTTGGCAACTTCTTCTACACTAATTGTGATGTCAGATAAATTTTGTTCCGTTCTTATTGGAAGTGAATTGTTGATAGTGTCCTCACCAATGCTCGATCGAGGAGAGTTAAAAACAGAGGAAAAGAACGCGTTGAACAGTTCAGCTTTATGGGCTGCAGTTTTCGCCGTTACGCCTTTGTACGATATTTCCGACAACCCAGGGTGGCGAGTTTGTGTCTTTAAGAACTTTCTTAGGAATAAATTTGTTCACATGCGCGAGAAACCACTCTTTCCAACGTGTCCAGTGCTGGTCTATTTCCTCTGTCAATACGCCATCACTATCGAACCCTGCTTGCAATAGAGAAGTCCGAAGTTCTTCGAAATTCCCTTGTCTATAGTCAAAGTATATCAAAAAGTATAGTTAGGGTATCGGTTGCACAGCAAATCAATGGTGGAAGATAGATATTCCTTTAGTGACTGATGATCGTCCTGGGGTAGGCCAGGTGGATGGTAAACAGCGCAAATTTCTATGCCACAAAGGGGTCTAGGTAAACGAGAGGGGGGGGGGGTGGCGCAGCCAAAGCCACAAGCAAAGCCACGAGATCGGTTCGGCGGTTGGCATGGAAAAGCTCGGATAGATATATGCACACGCCACCCCCTCGGCGATTAGGGCGGTCCTTACGAAAAAGGGTTATAACCATGGACTGAAGCAAGGCTATCATCGATGTCTTCACTAAACCATGTTTCGGTAACTGCCACGTGCCATGTCGACTGGGTTAATAGAAAGTAATGCTGTTAACTCGTGTAACTTTGGTAAAAGTGACCGGGCGTTTATTAAAGAAATTTTCGGAAGCATAGTTTTCTTGGTACGATCGCCGATGCGACATTTTTGGCCCCGGAAATTTTCGTGAAGAAATTTAGCATGTGTTTGTACGGTATAAATCATGAGAAGGTGGGAGCTCCAAAAATGTATGTAAGACTGCAGTGGGGGACATTTCGCGAAATATTGGGATGCGTTTCCAGCATATTCTCACTCTTTTATACAAGTAATATCAAGCATATCGCAACTTCGTTACTTAGTTAAGGGGCGGACAATTAGAAAAGTGATGGGTGGGGAAAAATCATCTGAAAATGGCATATATCTAGCAGTCCTAGTGCATCAGTAAATTATAGTTCAGGTTATACGTAACTTTAATTTCTATACCATGTTATATGAACGGGATTTATATTTATATTTGTGGCAATATCATATTATAATAATAATATCATATTAAAACAATATCAGTGTATTATAATTTGCCATAATGGCGGCTGATCATGTATTCGTGTTCTTCTGAAATCACTGCCAATATACGTTTAAATAATCAATACTTGTTGAAGTACCGTACGTATATTTAAAACAATTACAGTATAAGTAGCCTGAATTCGCTTAAAAATCGTCCAAAGCAAGAAATTGTGAATGCCTTGCTGGATGATGGAAATGTCGAAACTCAGACGATAGAACGATATCCCAGTTAGCTGGCTTTGAAGGTGACAATCTAAACAACAACTTAACCTCAGACAGCACTCCCGATACATCGGAAATACTGCAGGATATATTTACTAAACCATGGTCAAAACTTCCTGAAACCATAATCCCAAGTCTTGAAGACGTAGCTTCATCACTGAGGCAAGAAAATCATCCTACTCCCTTAATTGGACAGGTTAAGACTGCCTTGAAACAATTAAACTCTAAAAAAGCCACCGGGTCCGATGGGATTCCCGCATGGGTGCTCAAACGATACTGTGAAGAACTAGCGCCCATCGTTCATGATATTATTTGCACCAGTATAAAACAATGTGAATATCCAACTGCGTATAAACACGCCTTAGTTATCCCAGTTCCCAAGGTCAATCCACCAAGAGATATCGAGAATGACTTTCGCCAGATATCCATTCTTCCCCAAATGGCTAAAGTGCTGGAAAAGCTGCAGCTCAAACTGAACCTTCCCAGTTCACGAATAAATGATAATCAGCATGCCTTTACAAGCAAACGATCAACCGTGTCCGCACTCACCAACATCTCGTAGAACTGGTTTAATGTGACCGACAATACGCATAGCGCCAAAAATGGAGTTCTTGCACTATTCATAGATTTTCGCAAGGCGTTTGACCTTCTTGATCACGGAATTCTACTTCGTAATGAATGTAACCAAAGCCTTTTGGCTGTGGACACGCAGTTTTCTGGAGGATAGAAGACAGCGGGTCAAACTAGCAGGAACCCTATCATCGGTCAAACCATGTCCTGCAGGAGTCCCACAAGGTTCTGTGATGTCCCCGCGCTTTTTAATGTTCACATTAACGATATTGAGAACTCAATCCCAGATGGATTATCCATAAATATATGCAAATATGCGGAATGATTGTACACAGGACGAAGTTGTGTCACAAGGTTCATCCAGCCATATGCAGGAGGCCCTTGAAGCAGCACAAGAATGGTCTAATAGGAACAAAATGATGATAAATTCGAAGAAAACAAAAGATATGTGGATATGTAAAAGGAAGTAGTGGAAAGAGTAAAATCTCATAAACTGTTGGGTGTCTGGCATCAAAACAATTTGAAATGGAACTGTCATGTTAAGAACATTGTGAGGAAAGCAAATAAACGAATGTTTAGTCTGAGAGAATGCCGTAGAGCGAATCTTCCTCCTGAGGTCGGTATTACATGTTATGAATCCAAGATTAGACCTGTTTTAGAATATGCAGCTCCGATATGGGGTGGTTTACCACAATATCTCATTGATGAAATAGAGAGCATTCAAAACAGATGCATCAAAATCCTCGGCACATCTCGGTGCAACTTTGAAACGCTAGAACAAAGAAGGGCACACCTAACTATTGAGGAATACCAAAGAATTCTAAGTGATCCGACCAACCCATGTAATAAACTTATCCCCCAACCTTTTACCCATGAACACGATCTAAGAACAACAAGTAATCTACCATATGTTGTATCGTATACTAAAAGACACCGGCAATCCTTTATACCTAGAGCTATATCCCTTTTAAAACAGTCCTAAATTAATTTTATAGAATATATAACTAGTATAAACATTTTTAGCAACATTGATGTAAATAATAGTAAAATTTCTTCTTATCAATTTTAACCTTAGCACTTCTTGTAAATCCATTGTACTTTTTTAACCAAAGATGGATATTAAATGTTATTATTAAAAAAAAAAAAGGTACGTCGCCGCCGAAATTGTACGCTCTCTTTCAGAATTCTGGCTAACATGCAGACTGCATGGTTGTGACTAGGCGCATGCACCGGCCATCCTCGTCTCAAGATAACACTGGATTGGAGACGAGGATAGGTAGCCTAGTCACGGAATAAATCATACAGAAGCGCGACTTCTTGGTTTTTCCTATGATTTTCCAATGATTTTGGCGTAACCGTAATTCGTCATCAAAATGCTGACGCCATCATGGTCCTAGCCAGTGCGCGTTTGAGAGGCATTCACCCCCCTGATAATATTCAAAATGGCAGACGTCCAGGGGAGGGCATGCCTCTCAAACGCGCACTGGCTAGGACCATGGCGTCAGGATTTTGATGATGAATCATGGCGTGACAGCGGTTACTCGAGTCGACCTTCTGTTTGTCTTTATTCCGTGTCCAAGTTCCTGCCTTTCGCGTCCGCTGCGCTTGCTTGGAAAGTCTGGGAGAGGCGGAAGCGAGGCTGTCCTTCTGGGAACCATTTCGATGTTTTTGGATAATTTATGGCTTTGGGACGAAGAATGAAGGTATTTTGGTAATGGAAGGAAGTGCATGTGGCGAAAGTTCGGTCAAGTTTACTTTCTGAAATCATATTTAACGAATTTTGCTAGGCCTTCTCCAGAGGTTCAGACAAGCCATGCGGGAAGGCCTGGGACTAGGCTAGAGAGTTTAAACTTCGCGTTCCGGCAGGGCAACGGCAAACGGTAGAGTCTAATTTTTTTGGCAGAATTTCCGCTCACTTGTTCGTTTCATATTTTCTTTCTTGTGTCAAAAGAATAACTATGCTTTACAGTTTTAAAAATAGCAAGTTCATTTGCTCTTTATTGCCTTATAGCTAGAATTTTTCTTTGGCCTTTTAAATTTTTTTTCGCGAAGCTTAAACTCTCTGATGGCGTGAAACAATTAAAGCTTGAGGGTCTCCTTTTCCAAAATCAATGTTTTGTAATTTACCATAAAACAAACACATTTCTTATATTCTTTGTTTGCGATGACGTAATTTTGGGATTTCAGTTGACGGGCACGTATAACAAAAAGCGGCTATTTTAATGTATTGATCGAGTTTAGAGACAGACTCAAAAGATGAATTACCGTCCACTTTCTCTTGCTACAACCATTCTGATAGGAGAAAAATCATCAAGCTATATTTCACAAGTCACACAGGCGAAGATAGGCATATTTGCTTCATAGTCTAACTGAACTTAAACAGCAAACGATTAGACTGACCATGAATTTGACTGATTAAATAAATCTCGTCTCATTAAAATATTCTGGCTTCAAAATCGGGTTCCTGAACTCAATAGGATGCTTTATACAGTCCTTATTTCAGATCAGTGATCCCGCCGGCCGGAAAACAAATGAAAAATACGCGGAGTGATAATAACTAGAGAATACTTAAGATTTATATGTGGTTTACAGGTATAAACTATTATAAGCTGACCGTTGAGAAAGATCGTGACTCTATTTTTACGACCTTTACGATCATATGGACACCAGGTTTAACTATTGGATAACTTACTTTCACAGTCATACCCATACCAACCATCAGGACATACACACATAGGTGCACCGTCCGAATCTACCGCGCAATAACCACGACCACGACATTGATATTGTGGATCACAAGCTAAAAATAAACACGAATAATAAAATTCTTATTATTATTTTTGTTATTATTACGAAAGGTAGACCTTACAGTTTATTCACTTTTCACCCAAAGGCCTCGTTTTCATGTCAAATACTTACCCATGTTTTGTGCTTAGTAGAGTTGAAAATTACTTTGTTATTGAGCCTAAGAACAGCAAGAAACAAATTCGTCCAGGAAAACATGGGAATATAATCTTTATCTGCCCCTGCAGGCATGCCAAAATAACTTAACATGGAAACGAGGCCATTGGGTAAAAGAGAATAATCAGTAAAGTCTATTATTATAAATTCAGAACTGTTAACTGTTTAAATAATCTATTGCCATTGTGTTATCGTACTTATTTGTATATAGTGTCAGTTATTTAAGTAGCCAGTTGTAAATTACTTCAATATAGTCCCGTTTCTATTATTATTATTATTATTATTATTGTATTTCCATTATTATTACTGTATGTAATTTCTTTCACACAGCCCCCCCCCCCTCCCCTCAGAACGTTTCCCGGCCCCACCTAGAGAGACTACCCCCATTATCAACTGTGCCCCAGACCCCTGTTGCAGTTTGCTCGGGTGTAGTTTATATGACACGGTAGTGTATACTATAGTGTAGTTTGAATAACACCTCATTAAATTCAGCCGTGCAATAACTTTTGTACGGTAGGGTTTAATTAAATTCAATCATTCAAAATCATATTCGTATCGTAATCGTAGCTCACTTAATTAACTATAATCTTCATATTGAGACCGATGAAATTAAATTCAAATCTCCGAAAAAGTCACGAGTGTATGTTTTTCAAATTGCACGAGAAACCATACATATATCAACTTATATTAATAATAAACATAAAAAAAATATGCAGTCACGTGCGTAAGTCACATTTAGAAATTCAGAAATTAACAAAATTAAGAAATTTGAAAAATAAAAAATTAAGAAAATTACACTGTATTTCTTTTTCTTTGCAGCACTCAGGTATTTCATTTCTTGGCACTGTATTTCGAAAAATTGAACTGCGTTTTATAGCAAATCATGCAGAATTGAGCGATTTTTTCATGTATATTATTAGGTGTGATATATGGTATGGTGTACCATAGCATAGCGGCTGGGATAGGGGGTATAGTTCAGTTCAATTCAACAGATCTAGAATTGACATAACAACAGTCTATAACTCATATATGGTAACACTTACATTCGCAATGTTGACCGGCAAGTCCTTGAGGACAATCACACTGATAACTAGTCTCGTTGATTTGTAAGCAGGTACCATTACGACATGGGTTCACAAGACAGAAATTAACTACAAACGAAAATAATAATGGCGTTCCGTGACTGCGCATCCAAATCACGGGTTCTGAGTGAGGTGGAGATTTTCGGATACTTTCGTGCTAATGTTTGTTAGTTTGCCTAGGCCTTGGGCAGATAAACAAAGAGGAGATAGATTGGCCTTTAGTACATAGAATTTTTGAACGATGCAATATTTCTGACCTACTAAGCCCGTTTTCCACTTGGCGCTGGAATTTTGTTCTTGCGCAGAGACATTTTCCTTTGTTGGTATCACCTAATACATGCATGAGCAAAAGCGATGTCCGACAGACGATATTGTCGCTGCGCGCGAACAAATTCCCTTAGTAGAAGACGGCGTAACCGCTTGAGCAGCTGAGAAAAAAATGCAGCTTAATAAAGGCCGTTTCCCACTAGGCGGAATTTTGCGAGCGGAATTTTTCTTTGTCTTGTGATTTCTCGGGTGGAACTAATTAGAAAAGACAAAGAGAAATTCCGCTCCGCGCGGAAAATTCCGCCTAGTGGAAAACGGCCATTAGGCTCTCTGGCGGGGATCGAACCCGCAGACCTGCCCCATCATGCATTGCCCGGCAATGATATCACAGCCACTGATCTATATAGATTGCAATTGCACTGCACTGTGCCCAACGAAGGGCCTGCGGAGGACCTAAAACTTGAAATCTCAATCCCAAAGTCCAGGTCACATAGTTACACAACGATAACGGTAACAAAAGCAACAGAAAATTGAGATGGATAAGGATTAAACTACATGAAAAATACACGTAAAACTTCAGTCCTTATAAATGAATAGTTGAATCCCTACCCATCTCAATTTTCTGCAGCTTTCCGGAATGACGTTAAAAAGTCTTTCAAAAGCTCATTAATAATTCATGAGGAAAACACAAAGAAAAATCATAAGCGTGTCGTATCTTTATATGTGATAGAGATTTCCCTTGATTTCCTGATAAACTTTAGCTTTGATTTTCTCGGTTTAGACAAAGTTTATTTTAAAAATTACTTCGCCAATGAACTCGTATAAGATGAGTCGTTTTTTAAGCCATTTAAAGCACTTGTAGTCGTGTTTTATCACATATAAAACACTCCGCTACGCGTCGTGTTTTATATGTGATAAAACACTCCCATGTACGCGTGCTTTAAATAGTACATACATACCCCCTGTGCATCCAGAAATATCCAGTCTCACCCCGGGGTATTCACCGTTCCACTCCACTGGAAAAAATCTGAGATAGCGAGCTATGATTGAAGAATTGAAATCCCTGTGAAGTACTTCGCTCGCGTTTGTTGCGCCACTGACAGAGAAAATCTATGTAAAAAAAGGAATAAAAAAATGATTGTTAGTTATCGCACGTCGGGCGTTTAATATTATGTATATTTGTTATTTGCATCTAGGGTAAACGTGCCAATCATCATTCTCTGCAGCTTGGAGATCGTCAGGTGGCGTCTGGATGCAACCTATAACCACCCATGTCCGATGCGGGGAGCAGAACCTCGAAGTATTTCATGGTCAGATGGAGACAACGTCTGTAGCGCGCGTCTTCGTTTCATCGTCATGTCGAATTATAAATGCATAACTGACGTTAACTTTTGTTTCTGGTCGCGTGATTTCTATTTCTGTGCAATCCATGATCACTAATCATAAAATGAATTCGTCTGAGTTAATTTCGTCGTTTGAAACAAAACCATTTTAAACTCAACTAATCGACGAGTATAATAACGAATTAAATTCGTCTGAATCAAATTCGACGTATGAAATAGGCCTCAGTATCAAGGTGCAGACACACCAGTTTTATTAACTTTCAAAAACAAAAAAATCGCGTCGCGTTGTCGAATCGGGCTCGACCTTCAAGCATAGCTCGTCGGTGAAGGCCGCTTAAAACATGCTTGATTTAAAATATTTCTTATCTGCGGGTAATGTTATGTGCAACGTCAAGTAGGGATGGATCCAGCATGATCTGGTAGAGGGATGCTCTGCCAACTCTGGTGCCGTCAGTTGCGTCGGTCATGTATGCCGCCCGCCCATCAACATACTGTATTTGAATTGTAATTGTTTTTCACATTTCGCTTATCATCATGTTATTGCTCAAATTATTGTATCTCATTTTGTTTCTATTATTTTTTTTGCTTTATCATGAAAAATAGCACCCCCCGCAAGGACTAGGACGTGCGCCCTCCCAGTAAATCCATCCCTGACGTCAAGTAAATTTCCTACCTTAACTTCACCATTCTCCTGATGATCCAGAAAGGTTACTCCATCTTGGCTGTACGCTATTTGGAATTTGGTCACCCTAGTATCTTTGGTTGGGTCGTCCACACCCTGGATCGAAATACCTGTCAATGTCGTGTTGACCTAAAGAGAAATGATGAATGAGGATCAATGTGGATCATAATGGTCGGCAAACGGCTATTTGCCGTAGAAAAACACTAAATGGGCGACTAATTTTATGCTCGAATATGTTCCCTTCGTTCTATGCTTGGGAGAACTGTGCATATCAGGGTGCGATAATTCAATATTTTTAGCCGTACCGACAACTTTTGCCGCGTACCTGATCTGGTACAAACTTAAGAGTCAAGACGTACCTAAGACTACTTCCGAGTCATGCGTTTTTATACCACAGGTATTTTTTTTAGGCCTTGGTATAGCATTGACAATTAAGCCCAGGTCACCCCACACAACGATAACGATACGATAGATAACTTGTAAACACGCGATGATTGGTAAAAAGTTATGTTGGTGTCCACACTACAACGAAAACGATCAAATTATCGGCGTTTGACGATAAGGATTTTAAAATCGCTCGCCCGAGCGATTTTTTTCAGTCGGACGATGACAATAAATTTTTTGATCAAGCGCAAAGATAACCTTTTGGCTTTTTTCATCCCAAAATATGTCGGATGCGTGGAATTTACATGTACAGCTAACGTTCTTCACAGTTTTGAAAACTTTGGCAGGTTTGCTAGTTATTGCTAGATGGAAAATGTAAGTACGCGAATAGCAAATTTCCGCGTACCTACGTGGTACTTGCCTAAAAACAAAGAAGTACCAGACCAAAAATTTGGCGTACCTTCGGTACGTTGGTACGCGAATGATCGCACCCTGCATATGCACAAATCTGATACAGATATACAGTACAATGTTAGTATAATAATTACCCTGAAATCTATTTGTAACCAAGAGTTCGAAAGTCCATCCGGAGCCCAACCACCACTTGTCACGCCAGTAACAGCAGGTTGGTTCAATCTGGCGAATATTGTGTTTTTCAAGCCATCGCTATGTTCCGATGAGCTTGTGAGTTGGGCGTCCAGTATATCACCGCTTTCAAGACCCAAAGCTATTGGAGCCGAACAAGCTACAACAAAGGATAGTCATGCATGAGAAATCATTATTAATATATACTACTGTACATCGGAACACATAACAGCCCCAGATCAGTCTAGAGTAAAGTAGAGTAAGGTAGAGTAGGATACGGTAGAAAGGGTAGACTTACATTGACAAAGATCGCCTTGAACATCATTGACACAGGAACAAGCAAAACTGGTCGGAATTACACTGCTACAGCTTCCAGTGTTAAGACATGGGTTAGTCGGTAGGCATACTGTAGAAAATAAAAAATATATAATTTTTTCTGTGTTGGTGTTGTGTACTCAGGTGAATGATGTTTGTGATGTTACTCTGAGTGTATATCCACACCGGGCGAGCTTGAAGGTCGTAGGTTCGATTCCCACCGTGCCCAGGCATATACACTCAGAGTAACATCACAAACATAAAAAAATATATATTTCTTTCAAGTTTGTTCATTGTACATATGGCAGGAAAATGCTTATATCAGACGATGGAAGTTTAAAACTATGAACTTCTGATTTGACTGCTATGCCACCCTCTCCCGATGAGATGCCTGCCAGAGGCGCCCTTAAAAAGCCTTCGACTCGATCAGGTTGAGCTGCGTCCTTCGCAGTTCAGTTTAGCTCTCAGCTGCAAGTAAGGATGATCAGTACACCCCACTTACTTATGTTATATTTTTAGTTTTTTGAAGAAAATGAGGTACATCTCAACAACGAATGATGGAACAAAAACTTGTGGTTAGAGATCGACAACTGGACTCTGTAGCTCAGTCGGTTAGAGCGCTGCACCGGAATGGCAGGCCCGCAGGTTTGATTCCTGCTAGAGGACCGCCTGGAGTTGCATTTTTCGTAACCGCTCCTGGTTAGGTCTAAAGGACCATTTCCACTCAAGAAAATTTTCCACGGAAAGAAAATTTTGTAAAATGTGATTGGCCGAACACAAATGTTCCGTCGGAAAAAAATTTTGAAGTTGAAAATTTTCAACTTTTAACAATGATATTTTCGGAAAATTTTCTGTCCGTGGAAATTTTTCTTGAGTGGAAATGGGCCTTAAGATTGTATATAATCGTCCGCTCAAAATTTCCATCTACAAGAATTCTTAAACCACAAAAGAGGTTACTCTACACTAGTTCGAAACGTTCTTCAGACAGTTTCGTGTCAATGTACTTTAATACGCCTATATCTAAACACAGTATACAGCCAATTCAAAAAACGTCGTCCTTTGCAAACCTTACACTCTAAATCTTAAACTCAAAGCTTGGGAGCACACATTTCAAGCTTAGTCAGTAGTATCAAGAGTGAATTGTTCTCGTAAGGAGATATTTACCATGTCTCCCATACCTAATTTTATATTTACCATGTCTCCCATACCTAATTTTAGTGTGCAGTGATAACCAATTTGTGCAGTGATAAAAGTAAAATGTGCAGTGATAAAATGTAAAATGTGCAGTGATAAAATTTGCTTTGGTAAGTTGTTAATTAACACAAGAGAATGATTTATAAAATGTGCAGTGATAAAATTTGCTTTGGTAAGTTGTTAATTAACACAAGAGAATGATTTAATTGAAATTGAAATGATGACTGCCAAATTATCGAATTAAATAATAGTATATGTTTTTTGTACGAAAATCATGAGATTCAGGCAATTTTCAGTTAATATCTGGCTTTTGGTATGTCCGGAAAAATTTTTTGACCCTTAAAATGGTACACTGACCAAAATTTTTTTGGCGACGGGGGGGGGGGGGTCGCCAAAAATTTCCGAATATTCGGAAATTTTCTTAGTCATTCGGAAATTTTTGGCATAAAATGTGCAGTGATAAAAAATTCTTAAAATTAGGTATGATGTCTCCAAGAAATGGGCAATGATGTTCCCATTATGCTTTGCACGCTTAGAGTTTCAGGTTTAAGGTCCAGACACACCGGACGCGATTCTCACTCGATTTTCACTGACCGATAACTTTGATCCTAGTTTGAATTTTCCAAATATTTAGAAGCGCTATAACGTTTTGAGTTATTTGGTCTACATATCTTTCAAAATTTGCTCTCATTGGCTGTTTTATTAACTTTCAAAAACTAAAAAATCGCGTCGCGTTGTCGAATCGCGTCCGGTGTGTATGGACCTTTAAGGTTTAGAGTTTCAAGGTTTGCAAAGGACGACCTTTCTTGAATTAGCTGTATACTGCAAATAGCAAAGAAAATCAAGGTGATCGTGAGTGAAAACTCATACCTTGATTGCAGATGTAGAATTCCACTCGCAAGGCTATATAACGCGTATGCGTCTTCGGATTGACACGAATGTATCTCGATGTTATTCGAGGAGAGAATATATTATGCACGACCGTTGAAGTGTCGGTGTTTCCTGTGAAGATCTAGACAGTTGAAAAAAATACATGGATTTATACGAAATAATGCTACTCTGAGTGACACCGTTGTGGAAATGCGTTGTATGAATCAAGCCTACAATCTTTGGTTTGCGGTCAAGTCGCCTTCGTTGCTTTGGGGGCCAGGGGCAAAGTGCCCTCCTACCCCCAGCCCTTTCGGCGGGCCTGCTCGTACGTCTATAAGACGAAGATCCTTCGCTCGAAACGTAACGGCGACGTTCTTTCACCTCCAGATTTCGCGGTTTGTATTCATCGCTACATATACAGGCCCCCGACGTTCAGGATGTTATCATAGATACTAGATAGCTTAAGATCTACGACGTCAACGTCAGCTAGGACGTCAGGGCTATGCAGACGACTGGGACTAGGATGTCGTCCTAATGTAGTCCCAGTCCTCTGCTTAGCCCTGACGTCCTACCTAACGTCGACGTCGTGGATCTTAAGCTATCTATTATCAGAATATTATAATAATAAAAAAATAATAATAAATAATAAGTAGAGGTGTGCAAATCCGATCCGAAACCGATCCGATTCGTTCGGATTTCGGAACCAAAATATTCATTTCGGATCGGATCGATAAAGTTGTTTCGTAGTCGGATCGGACTTCGATATCCGAAATAAAATGCAATCCATGCATTATTGCAAGAATTATAATTATCCATGCATTTATCAAAGCATTATCGCGGTTGTCGCTGCATTTTTCGTTTGATATTTCACTTGGACGTCACTTTGTCAGCTTCTTGACATGTATTTCTTGCTTTTATATTTATTTGGTTAAATATTTCAACATGAATGAGAAATTTGTTTTATTAAAGAATTCTTCGGATCGGTTCGAATTGGAATTCTTTTTCAAAACTCGGATCGGATTCGGATTAAACAATTCGGATCGGATTTTAAACATTAGGCATGATTGTCGGATTATAAACGTCCAATCCGATCCGATGCACACCTCTAATCAGAAGTGAAAAAAGTATCGAAACCTGGGAAGCTAGCCCCGACAATTTTCCTATCTATACATTTTTGCAAAAATTTTTAGACATCTTTGGAACAGTTTGGAACAAAATACAGCCTGGCCGGCAATAGGAAATTTGTTTTAATCCTGTAAAACTGCAACCTAATTCATCGCTTCATATACGACAACACGTCCTAAAGAACACAATCCATGCATGTAAGGTAAAAAAGACAGTTCCCTAAAGTATGGTATTGTAATATTTTGCGGCGAATTTTTAGTAGACGACCGGCTAACGATCTGAAAGTTACACTCTTATATACTATAGCAGTTTGGTTACAATCTGCCAACTGGCATTTTCTTGGAGTATACACGCACTAACAAAGAAGACTATTTATGTTGGCTTCTCTGATTTTAAAAATGTGACAATTTGAATATAATATTGGCTATTAAAAGTACTATATGACTATGTTGACAAAATTTCTACAAAAATCGTACCAATCGCATAAATGTCTTATATATACTTTATGCGAACTTTCTTATGGTAAGTTGGTATAGTTTGTTTTTGTTAAAAATGAACTTGTGCATTATTTAACATAGTACTTCATTAAGCAATATTTAAAAATTACAAATTTTCATCTATAATGCCAAAATCAGATTTGCCAACTTTATATAGTCTTCTATATAAATCAGCATATCGCTACTCTAAGAAAATAACATTGGCAGCTTGTAACAGAAAATGCCACCAACTGAAATTTAGGTATACATTTTCATTTGGTATACATGGTCAGCCGCCTATATCGCCACAGAGTAAGTACATACAGAGGTCTTACTTCAGGTTAATTTAGCGTAAGGGATTTTTTCAGTTCGCCATATGTTCTTAGCCAGTCCGGTCCCGGTAAAGAAAGGCTATCACACCCCTGAAAACATATTGACTAAGAACATGGCCGCTAGCTATTTTTGTAAAAACTACCTTACGGTTTTCTAGCAGAAGTGAGACCTCTGTCAGATAATTATTTTACCTTCTCCACATTGTTGTCTTTATAAATATCAAAACGAATGCCATCGCTTCCTTTGCTAACAGTGAAAGTTTTTACATACGATGCCAAGCCACCACCTTGAGTACCAATGCCATCCACAGTTACCTCGGATTTAAAGTCAACCTGTAGCCACGGATTATCGTAATCAGAGTTGGCCGGAGACCAATATATTCCCGGGTAATCGAGTCGTGCATAGATCGGGGTGTGAGATATACTGTAAGTGGACGATGCAGTGATCTGGTTAGCACCAATCCCGGTGCTTTTCATTCCAGCAGGAACGACCGTGCAAACTAAAAATGGACAAATATCTGAACTGGAAATGGATTCTAATTTAACAGCTTTAATTTGGCACGCAGATAATTTGGCACGTAGATTGGGGATAGGGGATAATGACTGGTATACAATTCTTAAAATGTTGACTAAAGGCCCGGTCACACTACACAACGATAACGATACGATAAATTGTAAACACGCGATAATTGGCAAAAAAATTGTGTTAGTGTCCACACAACAACGAAAATGATAAAATTATCGTTAGACGATAACGATTTTAAAATCGCTCACCTGAGCGATTTTTTTTTCAGTCGGACGATAACGATAAATTTTTGACCAATCAGCGTGCGTATACAAGTTATCGTATCGTTATCGTTATGTAGTGTGACCTGGGCTTAAAACTCATCATCTGAAATTCGATCATTGGAGTAAGCCATAGGAGGGTGTCTAAGCCTGGAGTCTCCGAGTTGCCACCAGTTCGTTATGTATCTACACTGCAAATACAATTACATTACACTGCTCAGTGGCCGAAATCGGGATGCAGGCTGCGGGAAAATCTCTCCATTCAATAGACAACTTGCATGTTAGACAAATTTTTGATTTAGGCAAAAAAAGTAAATTCCCGTAAAGAACTTATTAAAATCAGTAAAATTGCAAAATTTGGTTGCGAAATGTTGTAAAATGCAGAAAATATAGCCTTGCGAAGTTTGCAATTTTCAGTCATTTTGTATTACGTGCGAAAATTGTTACCATTTTCCAGCCGAAAATGGTAACAATTTCCGCACGTAATACAAATATACTGAAAATATGCAAACTTTGCAAGGCTATATTTTCCAAGCTTTACAACATTTCGCAACCAAATTTTGCAAGTTTACTAATTTCATTATGTTCTTTTTAGCTGTGGTGTTTGATTCCCTTTTCTCTGCTTAGATTAAAATTTAGTCTAACATGCAAGTTGTCCATTGATAATAAAAAATACTTACAACACTTGGCAAGCTCCATTCTTAAATCGGGTTGGATCTCGAATGACAGCACATGAATCCGAAAATATCGTGCATTTATATTTGGCGTGAAGTAATTGAGAACTATTCCACTGCTGTCTACATTTGCTTTAAAAATCTAAAACATTGAAAAAGTGATAAGTTAGATGCGAGATTTTTATTTTATTTTATTTTGTCAAATTTATTGGACCACAGTATAACACTAACAAACTATTCTATGGGAAGTTCTCAAAAGGGAAGTCCCATGCAAGGCAACTCCTTTAACAAGTATAAAATAGAACGCCACGTAAAGCAATGAATAATAGTTATAACAGAACAGAACGAGCAAACAGAAGTAGATGATGAATATAGGGATGATTGATATCTCGGTTTATGTAGCAGATCGATTGGACAACGACTTATCGTTGATTGAACGTTCTACCTCAAATTTTACTCCTTGACCTCGTACTAGACTCCATGTGCAAGGCATGGACAAGTCAAAAGTTCTGTTTAATTCCACTATATAAATAAATCTCCCACACACTTTTTAAAGAGTGATGAACTGGAAATTTTCGGTGTAGCAGTGAGTACGATGTTGTTCCAGAGTTTGACTATACGGTTGAAATAGGGAGCTTGGGAAGTGTTGATTCGACAACACAGGGTTTTGGAGATTGGGATAGTATTGTCGGAGGAGTGAAGAGATGATGGAGAGATTATACAAGATGGAATAAAGAGATCCGAAGATGTGGGTGGTAGATGTTGCAGAGAAGGCGAGGGCTGGTATGGACACGTAAAAAAGGAGATAAAGGAGAGCCGGCCAGAAACATTACGAAATGAAGAATATGTGGGCTGGCAGACATTGTAGAGAACGTACGCGAAGCAATACTGGATGGTATATAGACACGTAATAAGAAATGATGAAGGAGATTTGGGCTGGCATGTACGATAGAGAAGGTGAAGGAAGCAATGCTGAGACGTTGTGGAAACACAATAAGATGAAATGAAAGAGAAGTGGTCTGAAAGACTGAGGAATAAATAGATCTGAAGAATATGAGGTAATAGATATTGTAGAGAAGGCGAGGGAAGCAGGGTGTTAGCCAGGATTTCAAAAGTGGCCGTCCAAAATAGTTTTATGGGCGTGGCCGCAATTTTTTGTGAGCGTGATCACATGTTTTTGGGCGTGACCGCAATCTTTTGTTGTGGAATTGTGGTGGTCTATTCGTTAAACCTTTTTACTTTTAGTTTTAGATGCACATTTCCGTCATTAAATTAGTAAAAGCACATGTATGCCTTGTATGGTATGAACCGTATGATCACTACAATGTACAGTATCTGCTATGATGAACACAATACAGCAGTGTAGTGTTTAGTTATTTTTTATCAATCGCCGATATTTTTCTCTTTTTTATGCGTTTGGCTCATTTTATAGCCATCTTTACCGTTACTATTAACCATGCTGTAACTCTAAAGCATGTGGCGCTCGAGCGATAAAGCGACTGCTGCTTTTTAAAACAGCGGTTTCAAATTATTCTCCTTGATACTTCATGCAAGAATCATCAACATGGTTACAAAAAACATGGCGCGTTTGTCGATACTGCAATTCAGCCATATTCAACGTGTTTTGGACGGGAAAAGTATGAAAACATATACCATAAGTAAAGTAAACAGCAGATGACAACAACTCGAAGTATTCAAGAAATACTACAAAGCTTGTAAATTGCTATTTAAAGAAAATATTCCCTTAGGCCGTCCATTAAAATTTAGCCGTCCAAATTCAGAAGTAGCCGTCCGTAGGACGGTTGGACGGCCGCCTGGCTAACACCCTGCCTATGGGGTAACAAATTGCATTCAAAAGGGATGCCAAAATTTTAATATCCTAAGGAGATTATGAAGGGACCCCCAAATAGGGGGAGGGAGTGCCCATATTAAATGGAATGACCTAGGGATGGGCGATACCAGCTTTTTCATTCGATACGATATTTGCTCGATATTTGCCATTTTTTTTCGATATCGATACCGATATCGATATTTTCCCAACTTGAAATCATTAACAACGGCCACAACGCTAACAATATAAACATTGAATAATATATGTCAGTGATTGCAACCAACATAACCAGAAACTCCTATCCTTCCCGTGGACCATTATAGCACCATAGAAAATGAACTATTTACGCCTATTTAGGCTTTTTGGTATCATTTTCATGATGATGCCGCTGACCAAAATGAAAAATATCGCGGGCGCAGAAATATCGAAACATCGATATTTCTTGCCAGTATCGATACTTTTCTTCAAAACCCTGGTATCGATAGTATCGAGTATTTGGTATCGATATCGGCCCATCCCTAGAATGACCCAATGTTGGAATGGTTTGAATAGGCCTTTACACAATACCTTCGTTCTTCCAGCATCTTTATAATCTTGAAAGTTCGTGCCATCGTCTCCATAGCTTACCGAAAAGGTTCTAACAAAGTTTTTTTCTGTAATTCCTCCTTGTGTTTTTATGATTGCTATGTTCACAATTTCTTGAAAATCCACCTGAAGCCACGAATTATAATCGTTTGTCTTTGGACGCCAAACATTTTCGGTGGTGTCCAGTCTTACAGCGCCAGCATTCAACACGGCAGTTGAAGTCGAAGATGCTGTTATCTGTGAATCAATGATACTTTCGTCACCCAAACCTAGATCGGTCACAAACGTACAATCTAAAATGAAATAATATACACTTTTTAACGGAGAGACTATTAATGTAAAATAGAATTTTTTCGAGGCCTCAGAGGTCGACACTTCAAACCAAAAAACATAAAACGCACCCTATTTCAATCAAAAACTGTAAAATCTATGAGTACCCCAACCCCGATACAGACATAAATCATTGGAGGTGCCTGAAGCTAACTGCAATCCTTGGTCAGAAGGTCCTATGTACACTTAAGTAAAGTAGAAAATTTCATTTTTTCTGAATACATTTTGCAGTATTTACGACCAGATTTAATAAGAGTCGTACTCAAGATGTAAATTCATCAAATGATGCCATCAAAAACGTCAAATTTCCTGTTCTGTGGCCGAATTTTATTCATCACGTCGGCTTGATATATGAAAATTTTCGAGCAATTGAGTACTTTAGCGGGCACTCAAGAAAAAATTTTTTCGGTGCCCAGTCCCCTGTCCCAATTTGCAAGCTTCAAGCGAAGCCGGGCAAGTTTGGGCCACGCAGACCTAACTGCAATTTTTTCTGGCTAGCTGCAAAAAAAACATACAGGCATGACATAAATTCGTACTTAAGTCACAAAGATATCCAAGATACCCAGACGGACATTCACATTTGAAAGAATCCACCAAATCACTGCAGGTCCCGTTATTTTGGCACGTGACTGATGCACAGTTATCAAGCCCTAAAATCATAGTAACACCATGAGTAGAATTACAAAATTTCCTAATCATTATTAACACCATCACTGTCAATCACCATAATCATTATCACCATTAGTATAACAACTATATAACGAACATATTTTAAAGTCCAAATATTACAATCATCATGATCATGATCACCAATATCATCATCGACACCATCATCATCATCAGTATGACCACAACCTTCATAATTATCATTATCACTGTTATTATCAACATCATTGTCATCACCATCGTCATCATCAGCACCGCCATGATCATCATCATCACCGCCATGATCATCATCATCATTATTACCGCCATGATCATCATCATCATCGCCACCATCATCATCATTATCATCGCCATATGATCATCATCGTCACCACCACCATGATCATCATCATCACCACCATCACGACCATTATCACCGCCATGATCATCATCATCACCACCATCACCACCATCATCATCACAACCATGATCATCATCATCATCATCATTATCACCGCCATGATCATCATCATCATCAATACATCATCATCATCATCATCATCATTATCACCGCCATGATCATCATCATCATTATCACCGCCATGATCATCATCATTGCCACCAACAAAATCATTAACATCACATACAATAATTAATTTTTCACGTTAATATACATAACAAACCTTACCGTCTAAACAGCCGTAAATCTCAGTCCTCATGACACAAGCGTTTTTGCATGTTTTGGGATGAATGCGGATGAAACGAGCAAAAATAGTTGAAGGCAAGTTGCGCTTCACAACTGAACTATGATCATAATTGGCTTTAAAAACCTAAAAATATGAAAGAAGAAACGTTGTAAAGGCTGGTTTACTCCAACCTCGCAAGCAAGGGCCTCCACACCCGCCGCGGGACAGAGACCCTTGTAAAGGCTGGTCACGTGACCTCCCAGATTCTGGGAGGTAAATCAAATTATACTGAGAGAGGGGTGGTTGAGGAGCGGGTCTGTAAATTTCTCATATTCCCCAAATGCGATTTCAGATGCGATTTTCTTCTTCTGATGGATGTGAACGAGTGGATGAGTTATGAATGTTCAGATGAGGGTACATGTACTCCGAACATTCGTAACTCATCTGCTCGTTCACATCCATTAGAAGGAGAAAAGTAAAAAATCGCAGTAAAAATTGCAAGTGTAAACAAACTTCTGGAGTCAACCTGGAAGCAACTTCTTCGTTGTGTTATCCGTAGAAAGACATAAAAAAATAAAATGAATCATTCGTATTCGCTACGATATCAATCTGTACAAAATTTAGAAGGGTTTCAGCCTTTTTTGACAAGTGTGAATCGAACTTACATAAGGTTGAAAAGTGAAAACTGATGGACCTGAATGACAATGCTATTAGGTTTTACCGAATGCTGATCAAATTTTTGACTAACAAAGGAAGACTTCAAAGGTCCTGAATTACACAAGTAAAAACGTACAAATTGTTACAGTTCTGCAAACTAGTTGTTACAAATCTGTTCACAAGCTGCCGACAAGTTGTGTTCGCATTGCTTGTTCCCAGTCGTTGCAACAAGAATTGGAACAAGCTGTTAACAACTTGTAACAAGCTTAAAGTGGCATTATCAGAACTGTTGCTGCTTTATGACAAGGTTGTTACACTCATGTTATAACATAATGTTACAAGGTTGTAACAATATTGTTATATCACGACTGTGTCGGACTTGTTGGAACAACAACCTTGCAATAAGTCTGATCATATCAAGAAGTTTGTTACAAGTTGTTAACAGCTTGTTCCAAACTTGTTGACAACTTGGGACAAGCAGTGCGAACACAACTTGTTGATGGCCTGTTGGCACATCTGCTACAAGACGTGAAATTTTCACGCTTGTTCCCATTACTTAGAACTATGTTTGAACAACGGCTATAGATACAAAACAGGCCGATTACGAAACATTATTGCGGAAGGAGCCAGAGATGGGCAAACCGGAAACATTTGCCTGCAGAATAAAATACTTTCGAGTCAAATTGACGTTTAGAGTGAATCCTCCATTGTTTTTGTCCGCACTTTTAACACAAGACTGCAAGAAGTGCGCCAACATGTCGAGCTTTGAAGAACAATATTATTGAAGAATATTATTAAATATTATTATTGTTTTATGAACTGATACATTGATTAGCATAAGATCCGCTAAAATAAAACTAGAAACAACTGGGGAAAATGCTATAATGTTGGGAGCCAATTTTCAGCATCTTGACTTCACTTTTCTCATGAGCTAACTGACTGAAATACAGACTCCAGAAATATATAAACCTCACTGGTTTGTCATGTAGTGAACCACCTCTAATTGATTCCACGATTTTCGTACCTGAATCTGACCGTTAAATTTATAAAACGCAAAGTTGGTTCCATCCATGCCGTATGAGATTTCAAATGTCTCCATCCACATGCTGTCATCCTGAAATCCTCCTTGCGTGGCCACACCACTGATCAAGGCATCTTTAATGAGATTAACTTCAAACCACGGGTCTGCATCCGTGCTAGCGTGTAACCATCCACCAAATGTGCTATCATAGTTTAGCCGACCATACTGTTGACCGTACTCTTCAGTTGAAAAAGACGTCGCGTTCAGTTGGAAATCTTTTATGCTACGATCTTCCAAACCAAGCGCTGCTCCTGAGGAAGTACAGTCTAAAACCAAAGTTGGATAGGGGAGATGAATCAAAAATCGGATAAAAGAGATGAATAAGCTAGACAAACCTGGGCAAGAAAATTGGAGTTCCTCTGGCAATTTGCCTGTATATAATGATGCTGATGGTAATGATTATGTTGATGGTGCACGTGATAAGGGTGTTGACGATGATGAAGATAGTGGTGGTGACAATGCTGATGATGTTGGTGATGCTGTTGATGATTATGTCGATGACGATAATGGTGATGGTGACAACGGCATGATGATAATGTTGTTGTCGATGATGGTGATGATCATGGTGGTGATGACGGCGATGATGTCGCGGGAGATGATGATGGTGGCAGTGATCATGATGATGGTATTGATGATCGTGATGGTGATATTATATATTATGGTGTTGATGATCACAATCACGTTGATGATGATGTTTATTTCATATCGTGATGACAAGCGATGATATTGATGAAAATGATGATTGCGATGAGAGTGTTGACGATGAAACTAGTGATAATTATGGTGATAATGGTGATGATGGTGATGATGATAGTGATGATACTAATAAGGATGACAATGATGATGACGATAATACATACCCTGGTAACACCCGATAAATTCAACGTGTAGTGCACAGTTTTTTTCGCATGTTAACAGGTTTATGCGAAAGTACCGCGCGATTGTCGCTGTAATGTTGTTTCCAACAACTGTAGAGTCGTCTGTGTTACCACTGAAGACCTAGGAACAAAGACCAAGCGGTATAGTCAGACCCAGCAAACTATGAAAAATTGTTAACTAACCTTGTTTCCATCGTGCTTTTCTAAGATGTATTATACGGAAGAAAACCACTGACGAGCATGTTTTCCAATAAAAAATTTTATTTTGCATCGTTTGTGAAGATTTCAAATTTTAGGTGCACACGTAAAAACGCGCAAGTTGTTGCAGATCTGCAAACAACTTGTAACAAGGTTGTTGTCAAGCTATTATCAGGATGTGTTCGGAATACTTGTTCCCCAGGTGCTGTGACAAGTCGTGGAATAAGTTGTTATCACCTTGTTACAAGGCTGATGACGGCAACAGACTTACGAGCTTGTTGTCATCAATTTGTTGCCAACTTGTTACGTGCAGACGATATTAGACTTTTCGGAACAACTTGTTGCGATTCTGTTGGCCTCATCAGCTTTTGTTACAAGATGATAACAACTTGTTCCAGACTTGCCGACTACAGGGAACAAGCGGTGAGAACACATCTTGTTGGCAAGCTGTGAGATTTTCACGCGTGTAGCTCAGTTAATTCAGAAACCATGAAATGTCTGTTACAATATATGAACGCGATACGTTAATTTACTGCTGCGGCAAAGCTTTCGATCCGCAAGTCCGGATCTTCACCAGTGCTAATAATATGTGACTTGTTCAATTCACACGCCCTTTTTATACCCAGATGTCGCATCTCTGATCTCGTGACACTTTGGTATATATAAAGGGCGTGTGAATTGGACAAGTGACATATTATTAGCACTGATGAAGATCCAAGCTTACGGATGGAAAGCTTTGCAGTAATAAATTTACGTGGTGTTTTCACAAACAAAAAGTATTATATTTTCGCCATGCAAACCTACTAACTTGTTATACAAACGTAAATCGATCGTAAGAACATACAATAGTTTTATCCAGGACAGGCATTGTCAGTATGCAAACGATATACAAGGAACGGTGGTTTTACCAACCTTTGGCACACCATTTTCACTATATTCCGCAAAATTATAGCCATCGTCACCGTATAGCAGCTTGTACGTTTTTGTCCACATTAACTTATCCGCGCGTCCATGTGTCTGCACTTCTTCCACGATAACTTTGGCAATGAAGTCGACTTGAAGCCACGGGTCAGAATCGTCTCCAGCACTACGCCAACCGTTCCAATTCACTTCCGCCGCTAATCTTCCAAATTGCGGTGCCGATGTGGTGGAATAATAGGACGACGCAGTTATTTGAGAAGCATGAATAAGACCATTCGCAAACCCAAGTGGTTCACTATCACGACAACCTAAGAACAAGCGACCAAACAGTTTAATAGGATACGGTAATTCGTGTGCTTACGTACCAGGGGCCGGTTGTTCAAAGCTGGGTTAGTTTAACCATGGATAATAAAATAAATTTATTTTATTATCCATGGTTTAACCCTAGGTTAACCTAAAATTCAAAGTAATCTTCCTGACAGCTTATCTAAAAATTTGGAAATATTTCTTCAAAGATCTTGTTTAGATTGATAAGAGTTTACTTCTCTGAAGTTTTGAAATAAACGGACGTGCAGAAATATATAAACTAAAACAGTGGGTTAAATTTTAACACAGGGTTGGCGCTAACCCAGCTTTGAACAACCGGCCTCCGAGGTACGACAGAGCAAGGCTTAATCTAGTATACGGACACGTGAGAAGTTTTACACTTTAAACGAGGACGACTATATTAATATGATATTACTAAATAGAAGAAAATGAGCAGAAATTAACAATTAAAATCTCACGGGAGTTTTAAACGTCGTCGTTGTTCTGTTTACAACGGCAATAGACGGATCATCATGTCTTGAGGCAACGCTTAAAAAATCATTAATAATTCACGAGGAAAATACAAAGGAAATGAATGTTTAATCAATGTTTGTAAATCGGAAAAAAGATTTGTCCTGATTTACATAAACTTCAGCTTTGATTTTCTCGCCTTGCACAATGTTTATTTTTAAAATTACCTCGCCAATGAACTCATGAGATGCGTAATTTTTTAAGTATTTCGGCTTGAGTTTGTATATATCAGATACAGATCGGCTGCTAATGTTTTATCTACTACTTATATTTCAAACCGGGACAATTGCTACTTCCAATTGGGTCCTACTACTGGTCTAGCTAGCACTTTTCTCAATCAATAACCCTCCTTAAACTGTATTATTTTTCATACGATGGACTAGACGACAAGTTTTCTTCTGCAATCATTTGGCTCAACGAATAGACAATTCTCATTATAGACTAATTTTAAAACTAGGCAAGGAGATGCAAATAAATCACCACAGCTGGAAAGAGCATACTAAAATTAGTAAAATTACAAAGTTTGGTTGCGAAATGTTGTAAAATGTGGAAAATATAGCCTTGCAAAGTTTGCAAATTTTGTATACTTTTGTATTGCGTGCGACATTTTCGGCCTAAATGTGGTAGGAATGTGGTAGGACTTTCCACAAGCAATACAAAAGTATACAAAATTTGCGAACTTTGCAAGGCTATATTTTCCTCATTTTACAACATTTCGCAACCAAACTTTGTAATTTTATTAATTTTAGTATGCTCGTTCTAGCTGTGGTAATTTATTTGAGTTTCCTTGCCTAATTGTAAAATTAGTCTATAATGGGAATTGTCTATTGGTTTGCCGTCGCGTTGCGTTCCCGTTCTACATGCTTGAGGTCGCTAACATACCACACTGCCTAAACATGTAGTCACATATAGTTCTATCCGTAAACCGGCCGAGCTACATATCTTGCTTAAACAAATGATATTATTATTATTATTATTCGTGTGAAAATGTACAGAAAAAAACAATGGCCTCTGAGTGAAGACTACTAGGGTGGGAATATACTTGCGAACTTCAGTGCGCTTGAAAAACTGATGTAAGTTTTGAGTTTGGTCGATTCTCCATCAAATCCATTTTCTTCAATTTGGAAAGGCAATATCCTGTCACCATAACCACAATATATAATACCTCTAAACCCTTCCAGGGGCAATGTCCATTCCACAGAACACTGCTGTAGCTCCAAATGATTATGAACTTAGAACTCGCACCCCGGACCATGGATGAGCCCACCCCTCCCCCTACTAAATCTGGCTGGATCCATCCCTTCCACCACCGCTACCTTTCACTGACTTAGTACGCATGTGATTGGTTGATCGGATGCATTCAACGCGTCTGATTGGTTAATGGTAGTGCACGTGGTAGTCGTCTTAAAGCGGATTTCCAGTCCTCGCACGAAGCTCCTCGCAGCTCGCTGCGAGCGATACATGAGCACTTTCATCCGATCACAATGCTAAACAGTTCATTTTAATTAGATGCAAGCACTCGCAGCGAGCTGCGAGGAGCTTCGTGAGAGGACTGGAAAACCGCCTTTAACCTCACAATTATTACCTATATAGCAACCAACAAATTCCAATCTCATGGAGCAAAAATTTTTCCACGTTCTCGGATATACAGCAAAGAAACGATGCGTTTTGGGGGTTGAAAGAGTATTTTCCTTTGGTGTATCTTCGTCAACGTTACCAGTAAAAAGCTTAAAAAATAAATAAACCAATGCATTATGGAAATATTTAAACAAATCTACTACTACTATGACATTCTCACTCTCTAGGAAACAAAACTGTTTGTAAAAAAGTAGTCGACCAAGCACAGGAAAATTCGGTACGGGTGCCATTTTCCTTTGGAATTTGCATCTTGCTTTAAAAAGGTCACCTATACTTTTCGCGTGAAGCGTGATGGGCTTGCTTTATGGTAATTCTCGCAATTTTTGAAACGGTTTGCTTTTCCCACCCTTTCAGTACAAATATGATTAAACTTTGACTAGGTACTAAGTTTCAAGTAGTCTTTCCAAATTTCTAAATTTGGCACTTTTTTAAAACTTCGTTCCAAGCCCCTTGATCAACTTCGCAAAAACTACAAACCAGCGGATCCTGTTTCCATGACATACTCGCATCATCCCTGTATTTCACTTTAAAGGTCTTCACCCATTGATCATTACCAGGACGGCCTTGTGTGATAACTCCAGTAACCGTCACTGGTCGCAAGAAATCCACCTGTATCCAAGGGGAATTATCTCCATGTTCAGCACGCCATGCTCCTGAATAAAGACCGGGTATTTTGGGAAGATTGAGACGACTGGCTTTTCCATCCAATTTTGATGATGCGGAACTTTTCACTGTGATTTGTGAATCCTGAATGCGACCATCCTCTAGACCCAGCCGTATGGGATTCGAGCAAGAGCCTACGAAAACAACCGCTACAGATCTTAAAATTAGAAATGGATTGTGCATCTGCTACGGATGTTGCTGATGTCTTAAAACAAGTTTTGTCGGGGTATAGACCTTCCCCTTATAACTAAAATTTTGATCTAGGCAAGTCTAGACAAATATCACAGCTTGAAAGAGCATCACAAAATTAGTAATATTCCAAAGTTTCGTTACGAAATGTTGTAAGATGAGGAAAATAGAGCCTTGCGAAGTTTGCAATTTTCAGTCATTTTGCATTACAAACGGGAAATTGCAGTCCCAACACCCGAATCGGATGTCAATTTCCCATTTGTAATAGAAAATGACTGAAAAACGGCAAACTTCGCAAGGCTATATTATCCGCATTTTACAAGATTTTGCAACAAAACTTTGGAATATTACTAATTTTGTGATGCTCTTTCAAGCTGTGATGGAATTTTTGTCCAGATCGAAATTTTAGTTATAAGGGGAAAGGTCCATTGCTGGTCCAAATTGATTAAATTTGGATGGAAATTGAATGAGAAATTAGCAACAGTTTGCCTCGCTTTGCCCAGCAGAGTGAACAGAATACGTAATTAGCCGATTGTATAATTCACGCACGATGCATAACTTAATTGCCTGGCGGAGGCACAGAATAGGGACTATACGGAGGTCCGACCTTTTGTTTTTTCCTATGATTTTGACCTAACCATAATTCGTCATCAAAATGCCGACGCCATGGTCCTAGCCAGTGCCACAGAATAAAGACATACAGAAGTGTAACTTCCATTACAAAACCGTAAGGCGCTTTTTTACCGAAATAGCTGGCGGCCTTATTCTTAGCAAGTGACCTAAAGAGAGGCATTCACCCCCCTGGAATATTAAATTTTCAATATGTTTTCAGGGGGTACTGACTGCCTCTCTTTAGGGCACTTGCTAAGAACATGGCGGACTGAAAAAATCCCTTACGCGAAGTTAACCTGAAGTGAGATCTCTGTATGTACTTCCTCGTTAACCTGAAGTGAGATCTCTGTATGTACTTCCTCTGTGTCTTTATTCTGGAGGATGTCCAGAATAAAGATGTCCGAAATTAACCCGGAGCGTGTCTTTATTCTGGAGGATGTCCAGAATAAAGATGTCCGAAATTAACCCGGAGTGTGTCTTTATTCTGGAGGATGTCCAGAATAAAGATGTCCGAAATTAACCCGGAGTGTGTCTTTATTCTGGAGGATGCAGTCTTCGCGTGCTCAGAGCAATGCCTGTGCGCGGGCTAGGATGGCATTGGCTCTGGGGAAATTGACAACCGGAACCCCTAAATTTAAGGGTTCCGGTTCTTTGTCGACATGCACGATTGATAAACGTTAAACCAATCACAGCACAGGAAAAATTCAATTTCCCCAGAGCCAATGCCATCCTAGCCCGCGCACAGGCATTGCTCTGGGAACGAGATTGCGTGCTCTCGTGTTATCTATTGTGTTAAAACGCAGAGTAATTGATAGATTTCAAAATCTCTTCACAAAGTCCCAACAACCGAAAATGGATTGTACTTGGTAGTAATTACTGCGGATTCAGGTAGACCGTTCAATGCGAATAATTGTCGTTACGTTTAAATTTTGAAAATAAACGTTGAAGCTACGCCTTAGAAACGTCTGAAAATCTGCCTAGAAACGTCATCGTGCAACCGTTATTAACGCGACAACTATTCGCATTTAACAGTCTACCTGAATCCGCAGTATGCATATGATTTTGGAAGGCAAATGGTAAAATATTTGTTGATTGAAGCACAAAAATCCTCATTAACTGCGCCCCCCCCCCCACCCAAAAAAATAAATAAATAAATAACTCGTACCTTCCGCGAAATCCACGCGTGTTGATAGGAATAAAATCTACAAAAAATAGATAAAACAATATGGTAGAACGAAGGTTATAGGCTATGCCAGGCCCATACGCAGGATTTTTGGCACTAATATAATAAAATTCTGAAAAAAGTAGTCGTTTAGTTCTTCTTGCTAGTTTTACCCATAGTTAATACCATAGGCTTGTTCGTTATTGAAATGTACTTCCAGGCACTCCCCCCCCCATTTCAGTGATTTTTGATTATTTAAATTTATCATAGGAAATAGTCTTGATAAATTCTTCACTGATAGATTCTTCAGACTAGCCCATCGATATGGATACGTTTCAAAGGAATATAAAATGTCCGAACTGATAGAAGAGCGGGACAAAACATTATTTCATAAAATTATGAATGATCCTGATCACGCTTTATATATTTACTTCCAAGGGTGGGTAGTAGCGAAGTAGTAGTAGTTCGCTACTGTAGCGAACTACAATTTTCAAGTAGCCAGTAGTTTTTGACTACTTTTTTAAAACAGTAGTTGTAGTTATAGCGAACTACATTTTGCCTAAAAGTAGCCAAATAGTTGACTACTTTTCAAACAGCAAATCGCTATTCGCTACTTTTTAAAATTGTTAGCAACCGTTCATAGAATAGAATGATATTAAGATACGGTTTGCTTAAAAGATTATTTTATACAGTAAAGATTATTTTAGCGCAATGAAAAGTGGCATTCCTGAACACTGTATAGTGCTTACAAAAATGTTGCTTTGACCCTTTTTGTTTACTGTTGCTACTCGTAAGTCGATTTGTTATAGGTTATATTACAGCCTGAGTTAGTGGATGCTCAACTATGCTCCAAATACCGTAAAACTAAAAAATATAGAGTAGCGAAATAGCGAAATAGTTCGCTACATTTTTTAAGCAGTAGCTGTAGTCAGTAGCGAACTACCTTTGTTGAAAAGTAGCAGTAGTTGTAGCTGACTACATATTTTTGAAGTAGCTGTAGTTATAGCGAACTACAAAAATTTTGTAGTCAACCCACCCTTGTTTACTTCCGGAAGCGACATAGGGTTTCAAGAGAACGAAGGCTCCGTTTACTCTCCCAAAACTTAAAACTGAACGTTTCAAACGGTCTTTTTTTGGATAGATGCTTTTTTTAAGAACGATCACAGATGCAACTTGCATATTAACTGAATAACTGTAAATAAATGCTCTAATTTTTATCTATACCTTCATTCATTATAAAATTATTGTTAGCTATAATTAATTCATTAGTTAATCGTAATAAAATACTGCTGCTCATGTTTTAAATAGTACATAATGCATCGGCCATTATGGATCTAATTAATTGTTTATGCTGTAGCGCACAGTTCTATTTTACGCAAAATGCCAATGGCAATGCTATGTTGAACAGGTACTAAACTGTAATGTGATATAGTTTATTCCTAAACTAGTACTAAAGAAATAATACTGCATGTGAAACACAGACTGAACCAAGAAATAAATAATGTTCCGAATTAAAAGTGATCGACTTATTTCGCCTTTCGCATAGAAATAGCATTTCAAGCCTACATACGGGCAAAAATTAATAATCATAATTTCTCGATGAATTATTAAATAGTTGACAACGAACCTGTACAAAAGCATTAAGTGTGACAGTTGTCTTTTGTTGTCAAAACATTAATAAAATTTCGCGGTCACAAGCTAAAAGTTGTAAAACATTCTCCCTTGCTTGAACAGAACACCCATTTGAGATACTAATTAGATTAAAACATCCCATGCGGGGATTTTATGGCCGACTTGTTAGTAATATATTAGAATATATCATATTTGCTCGTTCCAGATAGTTCATCTTTGTTATAATCACTCAAACTAAACTTCAATTTTCCCGTGACATAATTATCTATACATGCCCAATATATTCCATACTGAATGGACCGAAAATAGTGTTTTTCGATTTTTTTTCTCATAATATACTATATAGGAACATGCGATGAATGGTTGATGAAGCAAATTTAGTTCTTTCTAAATGTTTTCCAATGTAAAAATGTTCAATTCCCTTTCTCGAAATCTTTACTTTGTACAAATGCTCTCGAGTAAGGCATTCTTGCGCACAACGTGTTGGAATAGGGGAAGCAAGTAATTCCGTTTAAAAGTGGTAATGAATGTAATTTCACAGACATTCAGAAATGTAAAAATCCCTGATAAATTGAAAGTTATTAGTACGTCACACAGTTAGACACATCAAGAAAAAAAATAAAAGATTCCAAAAAATAGGAGGCAATTTTTAATTCAAGATAAAACTGTAAATTTTCGATGTTATTTCAAAGCCACAAGGTGAACGAAAAGAAAAAATTAAATTTAGACACAAGTTATACGGCAGAGCTTGCAGAACATGTCTTGCATATCTTACACTGGACCACGACGTTTGAGATATCCTTTTCAGGTAGTTCAGACACAAACCACGACAGCTTATTGTAGAATACTACCTACACTGGACCACGACGTTCGAGATATCCTTTTCAGGTAGTTCAGACACAAACCACAACAGCTTATTGTAGAATACTACCTATACTGGACCACCACGTTTGAGATATCTTTTCGGCATAGTTGAGAAACAAACAACGGAAGCTTATTGAAGAAACTACTACCTACACTGGTTTTCCTTTGCACATGGTTACGGCTGAGTTACATTCAATTAAATACTACTTTTGATAACGTCATGCTTTCCCACTTACCAAAAGAAACAGCATGATACGCGTTGTCAGCTGTTCCTCGTAGAAGTACTTGAAATTTCAGTCCATCTATATGGATGAAAGATGGCAGTCTTCTTAGAAGAATCCTTAAGTTTCGACGTTTTCCAGACAGTGACAAATACCTGTTGTTCGCCACAAATATAAAACAAGCAATGTTAGTGGACTAAGCCAACCAAAGTACAAGAGTGTTTATACCAAAGCACCTGTATATAACCTAGGTAACAAAATCGAACACAGTAAACAAGACTCACGGATAAGTGCATGGGCGTACCGGGCGGGGGCGGCAGCCCCCCAGTTTGTTGGGCAGTCGGGCAATATCATAGACATACTCAACAGTCGGGTAATTTTGCTTTATTATAAAAATAAATGGGACAAATTCTGTCAATTTTGAGGTAATTTTTTTGATTTTGAGGTAAATTTGTGTGATGTTGCGAAAAATTTAGGTATGTCCGAAAAATTTTTTGGTGCCTAAAATGGTACACTACTGACCGAATTTTTTTTGGCGACGGGGCGGGGGGAGTCGCCAAAATAAGTTCCGGAAAAAAAAATTTTCGGTACTGGTCGGGCACAATCCGGACATTCCGCCCCCCCCATAATTTTTTCGTGCTGCCCCCCTACTGCACGCGAGCAATTACAAGGGGAGAAAATAAAATCGTATAAGAAGGAAAGGGAAACTTATAAGGGGGAGAAAATTAAAATTTATAAGGGCGAGAAAAGAAAAATTTATCAAGGGGAAAAAATGAAAATTTATAAGGGCGAAAAAAGAAAAATTTATAAAGGGGAAAAAATGAAAATTTATAAGAGAAAAGGAAAATTTATAAGGGGGAGGAAAGAAAAATTTATAAAGGGGAGAAAAAAAAATTATAACGAAGAGAAAAGGAAAATTTATAAGGGCAAGGAAAGAAAAATTTATAAAGGGGAGAAAAGAAAAAATTATAAGGAAGAGAAAAGAAAAATTTATAAGCGGGAGGAAAGAAAACGTACAAGGGGAAGAAAAGGAAAATTTATAAGAGCGGGGGGGATGGAAATTTAATAAAAGGGGGATTTATTATGACACAAGTAAAGTAAAGCAAAGTAAAGTGAAATAAAATATAGGCTATACAATAAAATTGAAACTGAAATTGAAATGTGAAATCACACATTTTTTTAAAGGGAAATAGACTTAAAAAGGACGAGATGTTCCGGAAGCTGTCGGGAAAAGTACATCCTTGATGTTAATCCTTAAAAAAAATCCCTTAGAAGCCATGCTACCAGGGGCGTAGGAACACATTCGAGATTGGGGGGTCCGAATTCCTCGAGGCGCCACCATGGTTGGCGACGAGCGGAAATTTTTTTGAAAATTGGAGGCTCTAGATCCTTGGAAATGGCCATTTCAGAGCCCTATTTAGCCATATCAGTTTCGAATTTCACTGCATTTATTGTAAATTGAGTAAATCATATGAGTAAATTCAATGATTTTTTGGGGGGGCCGAAAGCTATCTCGGCCCCCCCCCTTATAAATTTTTTGGCCCCCCCCCCGCTTCCTACGCCCCTGCATGCTACAATCTTGGACATAACTGGTTGAGACTATTTCCCCTCTATAGATAATTCGCAATATTTTTATAAACTCCATGATGAATCATGTTGCCCTTCTTAAGCCCCCGCTCCCCCAACTCAATGTTGAGCTTGTGTCATGGTATATTTACAAAAGTTGTTTCGGCGTTGTTCACAACATTGAACTGGAGAGGGGGGGGGGGAGACAAAGTTTGTTTTGTCAATGTTCAATAACTTTGTAATATTGGCTGGAATGGTCTCATAAGAGTTTTGTCCAAGATTGTAGCTAAGTTATTGTTGTCGGACGATCAGCACTAACCGCACGCACGAAATTATATAAATTATATTATAGTGTTCTCTGGATTGTAATTTAAATGTCTTTTGTATTAAAAAACATTTAAATGCTTTTTAGATAAAAAAAAATTTAATGTTTTTTATTGTAACTTAAAAAACAAAAAAAAACACATTTAAATTACAATCCATGCAGAGAACACTATAATTTGTAAAATTATACAATCTAATAACATGCATGGATTACAAATCTTCAACTCTATTTAAATATATAGAGGATATTACACGCCGGCGCGAAGATATGACTTTTATCTTCTTGAGTCAGTTCCACCGAATTTACCTATGCAAAATTCCACAGTCCCTAACACTACTTATAACGCAAAGGAGCGCGCGTTGGTAATTTAACGCGCGTTAAGCGACTGGGGACGAGTCAGTGCATGGCCAGCCCGGGATGAATCGTGTCACGGGAATGAATCGTGTCAAGAATTCTTTTTCCTGACCATAAAAGATATGAACTTTGTACTGTTATACTGGAATCGAATTAATCTAATTCAACCTTATGTGATAAGAGCTGCTTTATTAAGGTTACAGAACACCTTTGAGGGTTAATTTTGCCTTACTTTTATTAGTTTCCATGAAAGCATTAGACTAGTTCTACTATCTGACCAAGTTTGAACGAAAAATGTTGAAAATTCGCAGAGTTATTAATAAAATACATTTCGCTGCAATAAGAAAAACATTGAAAATGTAATATTCAAATTCAATTTTCTCCTGAAAAAGTTTACGGTAATTACTGATTTTCAAACGAGTTGTGCTCCTGCGGGTTTTAACCAATTTTTCTCAAATTTTCACAGGACATAGCTAAAGACGTCAGTTTCAAAATGGTGTTCGGCTTTTTTTTAATTATGGATATTTAAAAAATAACGAGCAATTCACTCAAACAATTCAGAAATATATTGCAGTCGTCAAAGAAATCGTCATATCAGCGGAATGACGAAATAAGCAAAAATTTCCGAACACAATTTTTTAGAACAACTATTTTACTGTATAAAAATGATCTTTTCATAAATATAACTTAAAACTAGCAGGAGCATAACTCAAAAGCGTAACGGTACCGCGATTTAAAATTTTCCTGAATAATTCTTACATTATTTTATTGTTTGTTAATTTTACAACATTACCATATTCTGCATGCACTGGAGAACATTTGGTGAAAATTTGATGAAAATCGGACTGATATTGAGCGCGCAGTAGCGATTTTCTGCAAAACGCCAAAAAGGGTGTCCTGTAACCTTAAACGAATCATCCTGGTTGCCTCCTCCGCAGGCCCTTCGTTGGACACAGTGCAGTGCTATTGCAATCTATATAGATCAGTGGCTGTGATATCATTGCCGGGCAATGCATGATGGGATATTGAAATATGAGAAGCGAAAGTATTTTTTCTCGTTTTCCTCTCCCCCCTTCGAAAGCGACTGGGGACGAGGAAGATCCCGGTTAACAGGGCTATAGCCCGGCTCCATATATCAACAGCCCCTTAAAATCTAAATCTAAGACCAAAACGAAACCATTTCGGTCTGACTTATTTCAGGTTTACATAGCCCGAAAACAAGCGAGACTATTTTCTCGCGAGTCGTACGAAAACTACTAAAACTCGTCTGCTTCTAGCAGCACTAATGAGTATTTGTCATCTCCGCTTCATTTTAATTTGTCTTAGAATCACTAAGTTTCTCTTCATTACCATCAAGAGCGCTTTCCATTAAACACAAAGTACGGAAAAACAAATCTTGTTGCTTGTCTTTTGGCACTGAACAAAATCTTTTCTCCTCTATTTCATCTACTTCCATACTTCTGTCAATAATATCCACAAAAAGCTCCAATTTCCCCACGCGTAAATCCAAATCTGTGTATGTCTGTTCGTAGGGAGGTAATTGCTTCTTTGACTTTCGCTTGTGTTTCTTTGATCTCTTTTTTTTCACAGGCGCGACTTTACCGCGATGAAATGTTTCCTTAAAACCGCGCGTAATCCTCGCTGCAACATAATCAACGATCTCTAGTTCGTTCTGAATATCGGCGGTTTCCTCTTGTACTTCGGCAAACGAATCGTTGATGATGGCTATGAACATGTTCATCAAGACCATCACGTTTAATCCAATGAACGAAAAGAAATAGAGGGTTGCAACGGTGGGGTTGACCATAAATATGGCCTCGAAATCAAAGTCTCCTAAAGTCATACTAAATTGAGTCACCATCGTCCTTATAAATGAGCTGTAGTCTTCGAGTTCTGAGCCAAATACAGCGAATGCAAGCAGGGCAAATGCAAAAAATCCGGCGATAAAAGGTAGACAGAAGCTCAGAATTGGTGCAGTTATCCTCTGGAATGTTTTGCCAATAACAAGGAAGTTTTTATTGAATCTCAACAGGCGTAAGAAACGTAAAATATAGAAGAACACTAAGACACCAAGAATGTAGGTCATCAGCGCATCCGCGTTTCCAGCGTACTGGAAACCAACGTAATCATTTGGATTTTCTCGTAACTGAAGAAGATTTCTATCAACTTCGAACAGACGCGCAAGGAAGAGAACGATCAGCAGAAACTCGCAGACAACGAGGATAACTTCAATCCAATTCCAGAAACCTTTGAAGTAAGCGCAGCGTTGTTTATAGACAAGTTTTCCCTCTCTATACAGGAAATACATCATGAAGAATATGACCAGGACGTGAGCCAGTGTTTGCCCGCCAGTAAGATGGAGGTAGAATCTTGCGACTTGATATTGGGCAGTAGTAACAACTATTGATGACGGTGAAAATTCTATGAAATATGAAAGAATACCAAATAGGTTCGTATTCGCATTGTACACGGTGAATTCCACAAACACAGCACGTGTTTGAACGTCGAGCCAACCATTCGAATGCAAGTCCGCAACGACAGTGTAAGCCGTCACTTGGTCGTAGCCAAGGTTTGCAACATAACCACTGCCACTGTACATGGTGATTGTACCCCAGTAGGGGAATCCCCGTAGGTCTATCATGCTTTGATGATCCCATCTCTCAAGACAAGACAGGACTCTACCATCCGGTAACAATGCATTGTCGTTCACTCTATATTCCTTAGGTTTAGAACTAGCCAGTAACCGCTTCTTTTTTCGACGATTCTTCCCGCTAGCTCCACCCATAATCGGATCCAATCCCCTTTTGTGTCTAATCTCCACACGGCTATGTTCCATCTCGCTACCGCTGGCCAAAAGTTTCGTCCACTCAGTCTCGGTCTCTGGCCCTGCGATATCGCGACGTTTTCGAGAAGTCCCACTGGTCAATGGTTCCCAGCCTACCCCATAGTTGTCATCATCTTCGCTGGTCACAGAGTAACCACTGTAGCAATGTGGAATGATGTCCTTGAAGTAGCTGGAGACTGGACACGAATCTAAAATTGAAGGAATTAAGCCATTAGGTTAGCGCTGAGAAAACACTAAAATGTGACTGAAACTATATTTACATTGTATCCGATCGGTTTTGGCTTCGTTCACGAAACGTTACGGCCCAAGTGTAAACAGCTTTCGCCCCGCGCCCTCCTATGCCTTCGTCTTTTCTTGTATATATTTACCAAAAACAAGACAGGCAGACGTCATAGCAAGTTTCTATTTGCTAGATGCCATCTTGAATCATAGTGAATTGAACCCAAATTGAATTGGTGTCTACATTACAATGTCGTTTTTAGATGAATTGCAAATCAGCTCTCCTCAGCTTTTTTCCCTGTGAAAATTCACTTTCGTGAACAATAGCTGGTAACATTGGTTTCCAGCTAGTTCGACCATGTGGCTCTGGTTTTATATTTACCTTCCTCCACGCGAACTAATCTAACACGCGGGACACCCACGAGATAGTCCTCGATATTCGCGAGCCAACCTTTCTCTATCTTCTTGCCATTGTACCACTCATTTCCGTAGAGGCCTGGGACGAGTGTTTCACGTGACCACATCCATAAGGAATCTCCGTCTGAGATCTGTAAACAACAATGTGGGTAAATATTATATAGATTAGAAATTAAGTAAGCATTGTTGAGTTATATAACTTAAGGTGGCTCTAGTGCAAATAGTACTCTACAATGAGCCACCGTGAGTTGCGTGTGAACTACCCGAAAAAATAGTTCAAACGTGGTGACCCATTGTAGGCTGTCTACAATAAAGCTGCCGTGGTTTGTGTCTGGACTATCTGAAAAAGTTATCTTAAATGTGAAGGTACAGTACCGTTACGAACCCATGCGAAACAATTCTAATATGTGTTCATTACAACAGTGAAATGCAATAATAATAGAATCAATTTTCTAAGAAACGAGTCAGAAACAACATGTTCTTTTAGCTTCATATACCGAGTGAGATTGCAGCGCTGAACAAAGGGTGGAGATATTTATCTGAATATGGATTCAGTAGACAACCAAATTCGCTGCATCCTTTGCTTGGACAAAAACAAAAGTAAAGTGAACATGTTGTGTTACTATATGGCGGCTAGTATTTACAGTCTTTCCTGTGTTGGCGACCAATTCACTTACAGCAGCTAAGTCAATTCCATAGCCGTCTACTTCTTCGAAAGTCTCATACAAAGTCTTTGTAAGTAAAAATGTGTCTGGGTGCCTGTGATATTGGGCTACATCCATGAGTAGAATAAGGAAAACAAAAAAAGCGAAAATTTCTTTCAAAGCTGCGTTCATCTTAAGCTCTTTCAGACGTTTTTCTCTTGCTTTTCGTAATCTGGCGGGATCTGGAGGACTGGAAAAATAAATGAAGATCAAATATTTGAGAGAACTACTATCATTTAAGTATAGGCTGTCATAAGAGGGGTGAGTTGATATCAGTTTCATCGCTTGAGGGACGATATCAATGCCATAAGTGAGTGCAGCGAACGAGCGACATTGATGATATCGTCCTAAAAGCTATAAAGCTGATGTATACCTTTCTAACAGACTGATTCAAATACAGTATACAATATCTCCAAGTATGAATTACCTGTAATATCGTTTTAGTTTTCCGGGGGGTTTACCAATGGCTTGCATCTTTCTCTCCAGCTCAGCCAAGTTATTCGCAGCAACCTGTTTCTCTTGATCAGGCTTTCTAATCACCAGTCCCTCGTCATATCGCTCCTCCTCGCTGTCGCTGGCGGACTTGACACACAGCGCAAACACGACAGCCGCAAGAACAACTTTGATTGGCTGCAGGAGCAATACTGATTGGAAGAATGATGTTACCATGGCAATCACCCATTCAGTAGAGGTTTCCTTCCCCCACTGAATGCTGTAGAGTAAAGTGAAGAATATCGATGCAGCTGAGGCGAGGTAACAGATCGCGTAGGCTGGATAGATAAAACAATGCGGAAGTTTGCCTTTGGGTGGATTCTGGTTTTCAATTTGAACACCATGGACGATGTCTTCCTCTTTTCTCGCCAAATCTTCATCCTTTTCTCTGCCATGCTGGTCTTTTTCTACCTCGTAAACAGAGGTTCTCTGCGGCTTTTCTTTCTTTGGTCGGAGATTTCGGAAAATTTGCACAATCAATACATTTACCGGGACAATAATAACACTGCTCTGTAAGCCAATCACAAACGGTTTTAAGTCAATAACCAGCGACCCAATGTGAACCGCGAAAGGACTCGGACCCTGGCCTCCCATGTTGTAAAACATCGCGCTGGTGATCATGGTGCAACATAGCAGACAAAGAGCGCACGAGAGACGTTGGACGCGCGTGAAGTTACTGGTTGGAGGTCTGGAAACAATGGAGAACCATATATGGCCATCTGCCAGACCTGTTAGGGCTTTTTTCGAGAAAACGTGATTAAAGTTTGTCAATTCCTGTTCGTTGGCCACAGGTAGAAGTCGACATACTTTTCCATCTTCAGATTCCACAGCCAACCAGTTCTCACAAACTAGTTTCCATGTTGTACCTGTTTGAAGATCTTTCACAGTAAATCGGCTGAGATACCAAGACGGCGATGAACCTATAAAATAAGAGCGCAATTTAAGTACCGTTTAAATGACATCGGTGTAAAATAAGCGCAGGTGAAAAATCGAATTTGTTTTGTTAGGTATTTTCGTGACATCAAACGTTTTTAATGATCTCCAGTTCAGGCAGGGTGCACGACCACTAAGGGAGCTACGGTAGTCTTCTGGACAACATCCTCTGGTATTGTCCGGGAATCCAGCTGGTGATAAGAGTGGATTTGTTTTATGATTCATCAATGCAGGCCGATTCGAAAATAGTTTGGGCTCTACTACCTGAATTATCATGCCATATTTGGACATAGCTCAAATCGCCAACTCCGTGAGGATATGCAATGACAAAGGAATTAGTTTGGCCTCTTTCAAAACATGGTCTTTCTCGATCATGCAACCGCACTGGTAGTGTCCCACCCTTATCACCAGACATAGTAAACACAACCCTCGCTGTGGTTCCTGCGCCTTGTCGGCTGCCAGTGGCGGTTGTAATAAGGTAGCAATAGTTTCCTTTCCCTTTTTGAATGACCGTTGGACCAATCTGTAAGAAGTTAATAAACCAGACAATTAGCAAGAGTAATGAAGGGTGTGGGTAAGGTATGGTCGAAATGGCATGGTGGGATACAGTGGTATGGTATGGTATGCGTAGGGTATGATATGGAATGGTATACTTGGAATGGTATGATATATTAAGGTATGGTATGACATGATAAGGTACGACGCGGTATAGTGTGATACGTTGTATGTACGGTACGGTATGATATGGCATGATATATGGTACGGTATGGCATGTTTGGCGTGGAATGTGTAGTATGATAATGTATGACATGACATGGTATGTTTCGTATGGTATGGCAAGATATGGTACAATATAGCAGTTTAGTATGGTATTTTAAACTATGGTATGGTAAGGTGTAATACGGTATGGTAAGGTAAATGAAGGTATATGGAATGGTATATTTTGATACGGTAAAAGGTATGGTATTTGGCATGGCATGGTTTCGCAAGGTATGGTAACGGATAGTAAGACATAGTAAAGTAAAGCAAGACAGGAAAGGAAAGTCAAGGTACAGTACTTGCTCAAGCAATACATGCAAGGCAAATTGAGGCCAACATACTTACCATTAATAAGTCTCTCTTATCCGCTCGCCTTGCCCAGATGACTCCAACGATGTACACCCCAAGAATGGTTGATATCAAAGCCAGTACAGCGACGTTCTCAGCAAGACTACCAAAATTGCTGAAAACTGAGTCGAAGTCAATTGGGTTTGGAGCAACAAGAAGATCGCTTCCAAACGACGTCAAATGATTGCAAAGACAGAGGATTTTTTCCCTGTTGGTGCCCAGAGCAACCTTTTAAAAAAGAACCACAATTTAGAAATTTGTACTGGATAACTCTAATAGTTCTAAGTTGTTCTTTGCAGAGGTCAACCCTTGGTGTAGTAATGGTCAACTCTTGGCGTTTAAGAGAGGCAAACTGGAGAAATACTGTACGAAAACTGCATTTCGCAGGAATCGAATCAGGCCTAGAAAATATATTTTTCTTCCTGGCGACAAAATCCAAAACTAAAATTTCCTGTGTACACTGTAAGTCAAATATAGAATCGTCCTCTACAAGTAGATTTCAGAGAAGGTATGGTGCAGCACAGTGTGATACGCTTCAATCTCGCACAAGACAATCTCGACTTGCAAAACTCTTTTGTAAACAATAAGTAAATTATATGGAATTCCAGCATACAAGATGACAAACATTTTCTGCAAGATGTAAGAAAATTTGTTGCGAAGATATTTTGTTAAAATTTCCTGGCATCGCGATGGCAGCATTGTTATACCAATTCATACACTCTGTCGCAGACTAAAAATCTTTTTGAGCGTTTCATACTCACCCTGCAGCCTTCTCCTTTCCACGTTTCATTCACAACATCCCAGAAGATACAACTGGATTCAAACATCGTCAGGTTGTAGTTCGGAGTTTGGTTGGGGTAAAAGAACTTGCCATCAAAACCAAGATTGTCTGCAACCAAGATATTCATCTTACCGGGGGAGTCGGTAGGTTTGGGTGGAGCAGGGGGTATGATGACACAAGAACGACGAACGCGTCTTGCACCCACTTCACAGGAGACTGAACGTCGGTTTCGAGAACTGAAGGTCGACTCGGGATCTGGGTAGGTATCATTGTGAAACAGTTCGGTATGTTGTACGCCTGAAGTGGAAACAAAAATATCGATATCTCACCCTACGTCCCTACGTTGAGTGTATATCTGACTAGAGGTCACTTGGAGACTGTATACCTCCGACAGGGAATTAAGTTATGTATCATGAATAACATCCCGACATTACGCATTGAGTATACTCTGCCTGGCAAAGCAAGACAAACTTCTCGTCCTTGGCCAAAGTCCATTAGCCCCACAAATTTACTTAAGTTAATACGTTTGATATTTTTTAGTAATCATGTTGACGGACAAACACACACTAAAGGTGGACTCACACGAGCAACAAAATTGCTGCAACTTGCAACAAAATCTGATTTCAACGCATGTTAATTGAAAATGTTTACACATAAATTACAAATCACAAGCAACATGTGTCCACATTTCTACTTAACATGCGTTGAAATCAGATTTGTTGCAAGTTGCAGGAATTTTGTTGCTCGTGTAACTCCAGCTTAAGCCTCGAAGCAGAGTAGAAAATCAACAAAATTCCTACAATTACACGAGTTTTCAAGTACATGTAAGTTACCTGACAGCAAAGTACCAGGCTTAACTCTGAGGTAAAGGGAAGTACGCTAATAACTAAAATTTAAGGGCTTTGAATATCTTTTCGCTAAAATATCTTCACCTATGAAATATTCTATAAAACGTACCAAAACAGTACTCCCCAGTGCCACTAAAATCAACATTTGACACAAACACTGTATATGGATCTTTTGAGCATTTGCTTGGGTCAATATGGACAGTTTCGTCAAAACCTGACTGCGATTGTGAGGTATGCACGCTGTCGTTACCGACTTTACAAGTACTGACGTCTGGAAGTTTGTAAGCGAATTCATAATCTCCTGTTTTTCCGTCAGGCTTGCCACTTTTCTTCAGAAATACCTGATAGAAATAAACGACAAAGGGTACTCTTATTATAGCATATACAGTATTACACGCTATCCTCGTGTTTTCTGCATGGACACCTGATGTTAGGATTATATCATGCTGGTAGATACATAAAAACGCACCAGTTGTAACAAACCTGCAGCAGACTTGTAGCAATACTGTTCCAACAACTTGTCAACAGGATTTCTTCTCAGCTCGTTAACAAGTTGTCAACGCCTTGTTGACAACTTGCTACAAGGTTATTGAGCTCAGTTCACTTACATTTAAATGTATTCCCAGATCTTCCGGTTTGATTTCGAAATTCATAGCGGTGTAGTTACTTCGTCGGGTGAAGCAATGAAATTTCATATAATCCTTTGTTCTGCTTGTTGAATTCATTTCATGTGGTTTCAAGTAGAAAGAGTTGTTACCATCTGCAAACTGTGTTGGATCGCGAGGTATAGTAACGTCAATATCTTCAGTGAGGTTCGAAGACGACACATTCAGTGATTGTGATTCAACTACAATGTCCATCACGTTTGATGTGACACTTTGACTGGTGTTGTCCCAACTGAATGGATTCTTGTCAAACAATGCCACCTAAAATTGTAATTTATTGATTATTTAGTTAAATACATCATAAACGATAATCGATTGCTTGATACGCTCTCTTAATGTGGTTAAAATAGTTCGTCCTACCTTGACATCAATAGGTTGCATTTGAAGAAATGAATTGTTGGGATTGGAAAGAACTTCATTGAAAATAAAACAAAAATATTGAATTAGAAATAACATGGTTATAGGTAATCAGCTTACATTGCATCACATCACAATACATTGCACAACATCACATCCACACATATCAAATCACAAAAGACTGTAGTAAAGCAAACGATAATTTATATGATCAAAAGCGCTTTACATCACGTATTGCGCTTACCTAATCAAAAACTTAGCCTAGACTATTTTATCTTATACAACAATTGTGGTATTACTTTCCTAACTGTAAATGTGTTTATCCCAACCCACTATGTCAACTTTCCCTGTAGAAGGAAACTGGAGCACCCAGAGGAAACCCGCGACTTTCGGCAGCTGAGCGCTGCTATCCTTTCTAGAAAGTCTGTCGCCTCTTTTTAAGGAATGTCGCCTGTCGGTCATAATCCCTTGGTGTGCCTCTTTGAAATGGCGTTTCCCGAAATTTTGGAGAGTTGTTTTGAATGCATGCAAAGCATGAAGCTTTTCAATTTCTGTGGTAAGTGGGAATGATTTTGGGAAACCAACGGCGATTGTCTACGTTATAGGCGGCGAAATTCGCCGGGTGTCGGCTTCTATTGGGAACTCTGCCTGTTTTACTACTTACCATCCCCGAGTCCAAAAGCAGCAGCAGACGGCGGTTTAAAGCGACTTTTCTTTAATGTACTTTCTTTCTCTCCGAAAGTGTTTGCAGAGATTCTCTCGGCACTGATCGAAAGCGTTTCCGTCTTAACGATGTTTGGTCCTTCGTTGGTAACCAAATAATCTAGTAAGATTCCTTGAAGTTGTCCCACCACATCAACAGTACGTTGAACATTACCCTATGTAATGAAGTTTCAATGTAACATGACGTAAATGAGTAAGTAAAGCGAGTAAACATGCAGGGGTGCACTTAAACATATTAAGCCACAATGAAACGAGAATGACAATTGATGACCGGCAACTTTCATCGACTCTCATACACTCTCACCAACACTGATTGACTTTGACCTGGTGCAAATTTTACTGATGGGAGTTAATAAGAGTTTTCGCTACGCATACGGTAATATCCAGTCAACTCTCATGCAACTCTTGTTCTTAGTTGACCGGGACATGAGAGTTGAGAAAACTCTCATGGAAACTCTCGCTTCTCAACTCTCATCAACTCTCATGCAACTCTTGTTCTCGTTTGACCGACTCATCGACTCTGAAGCAAACTCTCGCTTCTCAACTCTCATCAGCTCTCATGAAACTCTTGTTCTCAGTTGGCCAGGGTATGAGAGTTGAGAAAACTTTCATGCAAACTCTCGCCTCTCAACTCTCATTCTTGTTAGACCAGGCTTTACTTGCAGCTGAGAGCCAAGCTGAATTGCGAAGGAGGCAACTCAACCTCGGATCGCGTCGAAGGCTTTCTAAGAGCGCCATTGGCAGCCACCTTACAACCAGGGGCGAAAGTAGCCCCTTTTAATTAGGAGGGTATCATTTCATGTGGCTTCAAGTAGAAGGAGTTGTTACCATCTGCAAATTGTGTTGGATCGCGAGGCAGAATTGCCCTGCCAAAACCAATAATGCCCTGCAGCATGCAGCGCCAGCGCTAATACAATACATCACTACGCAGTCTAAGCTACGTGTATAATTGAACTACCGATGTCAATGTACATGCATACGAACTGCTTATTGTTTGCTAGCTGTAACAAGTTACTTAATAACTCTACATTCTATCATTTAAAATCTTGATTCGTTTTCTTTTTTTTTTTGGGGGGGGGGTGCCACACACCCCATACCCCACCCTCAAGTTTCGCCCCTGCTTACAACTCATGTCTGATCACGGAGAACAGCTACGATGGAAGGTTAATTAGAGGCCTCCCCCAACCCACCTTGTCAACATTCCCTGGGGGAAAAAATCAGAGTACCCGGAGAAAACCCACGACTTTCGGTAAAGCGTTGACAGATTTTTTTCACGTAACTGACATAGAGTGACAATAACGAGAGAATCGAACCCACGATCTCAAGGGTGAACCACCGAAGCCCCGTGGTGTCCGTTATACAGACGTCCCACTTTGCATAGGATAAAGAAATGTACATACTGCAGTGACGGTTTTATTCTGTGGCAATGATCCAGAATCTTTTGAACTGCCGCTATTCATGCTGCCCAGACTTCCAAGAATGTTGGTGGTCGCAGACTTGACGTTCTTAAATCCTTCGTCGTCCTCCACTAAGCTTTTCATCTTTCCTACTATAGATTCGGTTACCGTGAGGGCTGCGTCCTGAAAATAGAATTTATACATGATCTCTTGATAATAGACAGTCAAATTGTTCCGCTTGAGGCCCATCTACACAATACGAACAGTCGTATACAATTCTTATCATGGCGTATGTGCTGGAATAAATGCGTGTGAAGATGTCACATTTCAAATTTCACCATAAACCAATGAACTGGAATAGTCGTTCCATCAGTACGCCAGAATGACAATCGTATCACGACCGGTCGTATCGTCTAAATGGCCCTTTTCACACTGTAATGCAAAAATTCAACTATCACTAACTAAAATTAAACTACCTAACTACCTAACTATACGAGGCTCCATCATCATCGATCATGAAGCAAAGTTCTGGGGAAACAACTTTCCGTAACTGATTCGAAGCTTAGTGTTCATTGCAAGTGTTTGGAAATTAAGTGACCCATTTGCACTGCTAAAAGATGCGACAATGGTCCGACATTAGCCGATATTAATAAGCATTTTTAATGCAGCCCTCCTACCGATAAGGAAGCAACAAACAGATACATAAGGGTACGAGGGGGGGGGGGGCAAAGCAATTCCCTCAGATATGATAAAGCTCGCGATAAAGATCGGCTG